GGCACCGGAGCACGGTGGCCGGCCAGAACTCTAATCCCTCCGATGAGGGATTTGAAGAGAGAGGCGAGAGAGAATATTTACTCTCTCAGTTAGAGAGAGGAGAGAAAAAATGAGGGTTGGCCCTTCGGGCCAGCCGGTTTCGGATATACCCTCTCCCAAACGACGTCGTTTTGGGGAGGGTATATCTGTAATTTCACGCATGGCTAAACCATTTCCGTAGCCATCCAAGTTTTATAATTATTCATTTTAATCACTGAAATTAATTTCTGAACATTTAATTCAGTCTTTGAATTTTATTTTATTATGTTTTAGTCCTTACCAGTATTAAATAATATATTTATGATAAATATCACATTTAGTCCCTAATAATTTTAATATTACTATTTTAATCACTGATTAAATAATTAATGGCTAATTACACTACTAATATTTATTTTTATGATAACTCTAACCATGTCTCTTACTATTTATTTTTATAATTTGATCATTAAATTATATAATCTTAATTTTAACCATAAGTTTTATTATTTTTACATTTTAAGTTCATATATTATGAATATGATCCAATAGTTTTTATACTTTTATTTTTTTCTTTCATTTTAATTATTATTATTTTATTTTGTTATTACTTTTGATGTATGTTTAAATTATTATCTTCATGATTTTTATTTTTATTATTAAGTTATATAATATATAAATTTTTTTATTCTATTTGTTTATTAAATAAAAATCCTATTTATAAATTTAATTTTATAAACTACTTTTAAGAAAAATAAACATATTTTGATATGTATTTATTTATTAATATTAAGAAAGGAGCTGTCTTAAAGCAACTAGAAGCCCTTTTCTGATATTTCTGAGTAAATAAATAAAGATATATTAATATATTTTCTTAAAATTATAATAATATTTAAATCAAATAGGATTATGAATTAAATACATTTTGAATTTTTAATTTAATAATAGAGACAATTTATAATTAAAAAGTACCAATTTTGGGCGTTGTAGGGGTGCTAATCCTTCCCTAAACGTAACCGACCACGAATCCCTTTTTATTATTAAAAAGAACGAATTTTTGGTTAAAACGCAGATCAGTTTATCTTTTAATTGATGTTTTCTTAAAAACTCTTTTAAAAGATATTTTTTAGGTATTCGACCTACCTGACCCAAAAGGCCGATGGCGACTCCTAAATTATTTTCAAAACCATTTATTCACATCAATTTCACCGCCAAATGAATATTTCGTGCCCGGACGAAAACCGGTTACGACACCTAACACATTTTTTTTAAATAATTTAGAGTAATTATAACAAAATATATATTCATAATATTTTATAATCATTAATAATATATACTCTACAGATATAATTACTCTAGCATACTTTTGAGTTGAGATATCCCATCAAACTTCATATTTCATGCGACCAAGTTTATAAGATTTGTGTTTCCTTTCGAGGTGACGACTCTTTGCTTGCTGCCATCTAACAATTTCTTCGATTGCATGACGTGGTCCATCTAATTTCAGATCAATTATTAAAGTTTATCACCTTATCTATGAAGATTTTTCAATAAATTTTTAAAATATTATTATTTTATTTCATCCACATCGTGAGTATATTATAATCTTATATAATACAAGTATAATATTAAATAATATTAAGTTGTTATACATGCAGAGACGGAGTCAATATCAAATATTAAGAGAGGCAAGATACTTAAATTTAAAATAATGAAGACTCATTATGTATTTAATCTAAAAATTAAAAGGAACAAAAATCTAATTTTTGCTTAAATTAAACTGATAAGGACCTAAAATGTTATTAAATTAAAAACTTTAGGACTATATAAAACAACACCTGTACACATAAACTAAACTAGGCATTATATATATTTTATTTTAATAATTGATTTTTTTTATATTGTATATTCATTTTATGAATTATATTCAACATTTCTGATTGTTCCTTTTAATAATATCATCATCAAAAGTATAATAATAAAATAATATCCGTTTTAACACGTTTACATTTGTAATTTTTACATTAATATAATAATAAAATTAATTTAATTAATACTAAATTGTCACGAATTATAATTTTTTAATAATACAAAACAATACCTGTAGTGATTCTTTTTAAATTTTATTTGAAAATTAATTAGAAGAAAGAAAGAAACATTGTTAATGAAGCGGAAAATGAAGGCTAATTGGTTTGGGGTGAGTTCGTTGGGGCGAGCAGTTTGCATGGGAAAGTTATATGCAACTTTACTCTAATTTCTTAATCGAATTAGGGTTAGATGGAGAATTTAATTATAATTATATTTTAATTTATTAATCAAATTATGATTAAATAAAAAATTATATTTTAATAAAGAAAAGAGTAAACTACACGTTTATTGCATAAATTATATTTTTGTTCTGTTTTGGTACCTAAACTTTATTTTTTTTGTCAAAACCATACGTAACGTTTAATTTAGCTTTCATTTTGATACTCCATCGTTCAAAACTTAATGGAACTGTTGAACGTGATTTTTTATGCCTAAATTATATCATTCATATTCAACTACCTTCTCACTTCTATTTGTGATATATTAATTTTTTTTTATTTTAATTATATATTAATAAAATAATAAAAAAATGTCATGTCATAAAAAATATTAATAAAATAAATTAGAGTGATTAAAACAAGAACACTTTAAAAGTTGAGTAATTAAATTAAAAAAAATTTAAACTTTAATGACAAAAATAAGAGTGAGAAGATAGTTTAGGTATGATTTTTAAACTTCAGTTTGAATGGCAGAGTATCAAAATAAAATCTAAATTAAATGTTAGATATGATTTAAAAATAAATAAAGTTTAAGTACCAAAAATGAATAAAAGTAATAGTTTAGGTACTAAACTTATAGTTTACCCCAGGAAAATGAGGGCAGGAAAGACGAAGTTGATGAATTCCATTTGGTAACTAAACTAACAAACTGAGAGTTGGAGACGAATTATTCACAAATCGCGTGTCCCGCAAACCTGGTTGGCTCAGTGGCAGCAGTCAGGCACGCAGGAAACAAGCAAAAACCATCTTTCACTTACGTACATATAAAACTCCCCCCAGCTTCAACCAGATCCTTCCATTTCTATCTCTTTTGTTGTTTCAGAGATCTCTGTAATAAATCAAACAGGCTTCTTGTTCTTCTTCTTGCCAGAAAACAAACATTTATTGATCTTTGTTTTGTTGCTGTCTGAGAAAAAAAGGAATGAAAATGTACGAGGAGAGTGGTTGTTTTGATCCCCACTCCATGACAGATTGTCAGGACCTGTTGGGGTTGCCGACAGCTGCCCCCACCTGTCACAACAGTTTGGAAGACAGTCTCAATCTCTCTTCTTACAACCACCACCACCTTGAGGGTGTCTCCGCCGCCGGTGTTATGGATATGGAAACCCACCAACACTATCTGCTTGATAATACAACTGCCACCACCAACGCCGGTTCTCATTTGATTCCTTATCAAACTCAAGACCTTTCTTATGATCAGTCCAATTGGGGAACTTTCAATATGGTCCCATCTTCTTCTTCCCCTGAAGCCGCCGTCGCGGCTGCGGGTGGTTATACTCCTACACCTGACCTTCTCAGCCTTTTCCACTTACCCATATGCTCATTCCTCCCTAATTCCTCCATTTCCTTTGAAACAACACCTGGCTCCCCCTCTGTTGCATACGACCCACTTTTCCATCTCAACCTGCCCCCTCAGCCGCCTGTTTTCAGGGGAGTTGCTGCAATCTCTGCCGCATGGATACACCGTGCCGGCTGACGACAAAGATGGTGCCGGCGTTGTTGGTCTTTATCATGATGGGGACAATGGCATAATCGAGTTCCCCAGGGACATCTCCACGGCTGGTTGTACCAAAGACAGAGATAAAGCTGGCAAAACCACCAAACACTTTGCAACCGAAAGAGAAAGGAGAGTCCATCTAAATGACAAGTACCAGGCTTTGAGGACAATGGTCCCTACTGCCACCAAGGTACCCTAAAAAACTTGTTTCTTTTACCATAAATTGCAATAAAAAAGGTTTAATCTTTGTTTGTTGTTTTTTTTTTTCATTTGGGCTATACAATCAAGAATGATAGAGCATCTATAGTTGGAGATGCTATAAGCTACATCAAGGAACTTCTCGACACGGTTCATGAGCTTAAAATACTCGTCGACAAGAAGCGATGCGGCCAAGATCGAAGCAAGAGGCTTAAGACTGAAGATGCCGTTAGAAATGCTGATGCAGGGGATGTTGATTGCAAGTCTCTAGGTGGTGATCCTGACCAATTCTACAACACTTCGTTGAGCAGTTCTTGGCTTCAAAGGAAGTCTAAGGATTACGAGGTCCATGTACGCATCATCGACAACGAAGTTACCATTAAACTCGTTCAAAGGAAGAAGATCAATTGCTTGCTTTTCGTGTCCAGGCTCCTCGACGAGCTTCAGTTGGATCTCCACCATGTTGCTGGAGGCAACATTGGTGACTATTACAGCTTTCTCTTCAATTCCAAGGTAAAATATTTCCCTTGTACATATTGTTTCATCCTGCATATGCGCATGTTTGACAGTTTGAGCATTTCTTTGGCAGATATACGAAGGTTCGTCTGTTTATGCTAGTGCCATAGCTAACAAGCTCATCGATGTCGTGGATAGACAGGACGCGGCCGCTCCACTGACCTGTAGAACTTCTGTCTAGTTTGAAGGCGATGGAAGGGGTCCATGTTTTATGTTTTTGTTTCTATGGAAAATGAACAGCTTAAGTAGCTGAGTTTAACAATCATTACTTTGAATACTGTTAATCAAGGATAACTCTTCATTATTGCTTTATTTATATATATTTCGAAAATTCCATAGAAATTTAGAGAAAGGAAACAAAAATGAAATGACAAACTGTGGTCCTCCATTGATTCTCCTGGTGATAGATACCCAGGATTTTGGTGCTTAAATCGGCAATGGCAACTCGGTATCAGTCATACGTGAAACTGGATTCATTCATTCAATTGTTTAAGCACAAAGTAGCATCTAGTGTTCAAAACCAACACAACAACTACGAATAGGCTACCGCAGGCCGATAACCAGAATGGAAGAATCAATCATGTAAAAGTGCTTTCTTGCACCCAACTACGCAACGAACACTCGGAGTTCAAGCTAAGATCCTTTAAGGTACGTTTTGATTTCACAGGACCCGGCACGCTCTTTAGGCTAGGGGATCGCTGCTGATAAGCACTACTCCTTGTGATAGAAGATTCAAGGCACAGCTTGTTCTTATATGGTGAGTAGGTTTCAGACTGAGTATCAAAACTTACGGGCCTTAGCTTTGGTGAACTCATTGATCTTAGCTTTGCCTTTGCGGATTGTGTAGCAGCCATGTACGTTGGAACTGCAGGAGAGGTTGGAAAACAATTGTCTTCTCCCAAAGAAGATTGCTTCTTATGAAATGATCTTCGTGGAAACGGCACGATCGGAGAATCAGATCCTTCCAAGTTATAATGATATTGTCTTGGGAAAGTCTTCAGCCTTAGTTGTTTAGCTCTGTTTTCTTCCGTAGGTTGCTTGCGATTCGAAGTCCAAATCGAGTCCAAATCTTCTAGCTCTTTACTTTTACTGACTTGAGTATCCACCCATTTGTCTAACCAGTACTGCAATCTTCCATTACCCTTGTTTTGTTCTGATTCAGCTGACTTCTGCAATTTTCTTTTCAAACTCCTCAGAACAATGCATTAGGAGAATACAAATTTAAAGACAGATACTTGAAGCAAAGAAGGTTATGATTTACCCGATGAACGTATGAGTACTCTTTTATCCGTTCTCGTTTGATTGCAGCTTCTTTCTTGCTTAAGACCATTGCATCTGCCTCTTCCTTTGTCAAAATGCTATCATCCCATCTTCTTTGACTGTTTATGTCCACCTGCAATTTTTTTTGAAACATTTATGTCGAAATTACGACATGAATAGACTCAACCGTGACACAGGAGTCTGACAAATACCTTAATGATCTTGTCTTCCAATGTCACTAACTGTTTGGTCTCATCATATTGCCAAGTTTCTTCTGCCATTTGGAATCTCTTTGCACAAACCTGAGACTGAATGTTCATAATTGATTGTAAGCACTTTAGAGTATTCATCGCTTGTCGTCTCACCGCTGTTCCTCGGATGATTGCTTGAAGCTTCACTATCCCCTTCAGCGCCCGCAACGCTTTCCTTGCCTGCACAAGTTTGTGCTCATAATAGTCCAGTTAGTATGCAAATTTGTGTGGCAACAACAAATCACTAGAAAACAACTAAAGCAAAGATGGAACAAGAAACTTACAAGGTATCCCCTAAAGGTAGCCTGGATTTTTGTGGCTGCAAGTTCTTGAACCATCATCGGTCGAACATCATTGGTTTGTTCATCACATATATGCCTAGATTGAAGGGTATGAGTGAGCTGAACAACCTCGGCCGCAACCCGATCAGCTGAAACAACTTCTTCGGTGGCAACAGCCACAGTGCACTCATCCTTTTTCGTGTCGATCGGTGGTGCTGTCAACCTTATGGTCCTTGACCTTCCAAATATCCATCTCCTTCTGCTCTCCTTCTGAAAAATAGATGTCATAAAGGATGATTTACAGAAAATAAAACTGGGGAACTTCAGTAAACAGCAAAAGAAGTTACCTTTTCTGTTCTGCAATTGTCTCAAACAGAAAGAACCTCTTCACTAGGCTGAACCAGCTCTTCCTCTTAGCCATTTTAGATTTTTCACTTCAGTTAAAAAAATTCCAAGTTATTTTCAGTAATCCTTAACCTGAACATAACTTCAGTCAAAAATGGAGGAAATCTATACCAGGAAAGTGACAATCATACATACATACACACACACACACACACATATATATATATTTCAAGAGATCACCGCTTGTGAAAAGTGCAATGAATTCTCACCCATTTCCCAGAATCAAACAGGAACCACCGCTTGAAAAAAGCTTGGATATCTGAGATCAACAACCATTGTTTATTCCTATACCAAATACCAAGACAAGTGAGATGAAAACCACCAAGAATCTCTCCTTGAAAAACTGAAGCCACAAGCACCCCAAAAGTAGATTAAAATCTAGCCATGTACAAATAAAGATCTGTCCAATGATTCATGGTGTGCTTTCATCTGTTCAAAGCTGTGGGCCTTAACCAACCACTGAATGACTTGAAAAGAAAAAGCTGAGATATACACAGTATTATTTCATGGAGGGAAAAGCTCTTCAATGAATTATCAGAATGTGTCATTGAGCTCCATGGGGCCTTTCATTACTACTTTTTCTCAAGTCCTAACAGACATTTGAACATGTCTGTTGGTAGTGAAATTACCTAATTACCCCAACCCTTTTTCAAGAAACATATAACCTTGCTATACCATATTACTCGGACTCGGATTGAATTTGAATATGAATGTGTCTAATACGAAATAAATGTGGAATTAACACCTTGAGTTTTGCCTTACATCCCTTTCCCTATGCCTTCAATGGAAACTTAGCATTCCTTTTTAGAAACACATGGACCATTGCCTTCCAGCACAAGTGGTACACAGAGATACTATATATATATAAATATATATTATGTTTTAAACACAAGTATTTATATTCGAAAGATTATTTTATATTCGAATACGAACCAAATAAAGAGTTTATATAATTGTGTATATATGTATATACATATGACATACAAAGTGGCATTATTGAGGGAAGTGTGTTTGTGTTGGGGGGTGGGGTGGGGAGGTTATTGATTGATGGGATGAGAGAATATTACCAGAAAACAAAGCAGCCTTGTGTTGTGGTAGGGAATGACAGCTGTGAAAGGGCCCGAATGTCAAGGAATGAAGAATCACCCATCACTTATAATTGGGTAAAAGTACCTGCTAGATCCCTCTATTATAATGACTTATCAATTTAGTCCCTCTACTAATAAAAAGACTCAAATAGTACAATTTTTTTACAGATGTGACATTTACTGTTTAAAAAATTACATTATCTCTTTTTCAGTCACAGTTCAATTCCAAAAAGAGATTTCATTTGCTGAACCATAAAAGTTAAAAAGATTAACTTTGTTGAACAATAATTGTCATTTTCTAAACAATAGAGGGACTAAATTCATCCATTCAACCGTAGAGGGATTAATTTGAACTAGGTCTTTATAATAGGACTAATTTGTACCAACTTCAATAATAGAAGATTAAACTGATCCATTCAATAATAGAGAGATTAAATTGATGCAATCCCTATAATAGGGAGAGAGACTTATTAAGTACATTGCCCCTTACAATAGTCTCTCATTCTTATACTTTACCTTCTTTTATCCACTAATAATGGACTATTGGCCCTCACATACTGTCTCCTCTCCACTATAAACCATCAATTTATTTATTCTGTTAAACGTCATATAATGGACTGTTTTAAGGTGTTTCAGATGCACTTTGCAATTAAAGCACGATCCAAGTTTTGTCAATTATAATCAAATAGCCAATTTAATATAATATTATATAAATATGTCCACAATCAGATGATGGGTTTGTTTACAAAGTACTAATTATGATGAACTTTTAATAGATTATAGTGAGTGGAAATTGCAGGTCTAACAAATGTTAAAGAACATGGCATGCACATGCTGTTTCAAATCACCTTAAACTCCTGAATTATTGTCATCATCACTATTCACTAATTAGTATCCACTGGTTTTTTGCTTAGCATATGCCTCTAGGATGTCAACTATGGCATCTTTTTAGCGTAGTCTACGTTGTTCCGACTATTCATTTTTATCAAAATCGAGACTTTCTAAGTACATGCGAAGCCATGTCTAAGACGACACAGTTTCGACAACCGAAGCAGCTCATGTTCTTTTCAGGCTTTACATGATCTATGGTTGACCCGAAACAGGCATTTAACTGAGCTACATACCATCTGATTGTCTGCACTCTGCATAGAGTAAGTCATATCTCTTATTTTTCTTGCAAACAGGATAATAGAGTTGAAAACTGCAACCTTTGTAAACCACATGGTGTAGCAATATGATTACAAGAACCAACACAAAAGAAACATTTAGTCTTTCATCAGAATTGCTGATTGTCCTGTGATTCAGCTGATGGACGGTATAGGAAAGTGCTCGGTCAATTCATCGGTAGATTTGGAGTACGAATATGAGTATATGTAACCCCTATACCTCTTTTAATCATCTTGCAGCCATGGTAGACATGGTTAGGCCGTTGACAGAGTAATTTTCCATCTCTTTATCCCCTACATTTGTTTCTGCAATCCTTCTTCCAGTGGAAAATGTAGGGTGTTTTGGCAATGGCAATTGCGTTTCTCCATTTAGGATCGAAATAACATCAGACATCGTTGGTCGATCAAGTGGACTATCATCTACGCATAGCAGATCCATTAATTCTAGTGCTGAATCATGTTTCCCCATGCCTGCAAACAACAATCATTTACAGTTTAAATCAACCTATGTTCAAATATGGTGTCTGTTCCCCTGCGTGTAAGAATATGATATGAACTTACATGTCCATCGAGGTTAAGTGGACGGTCAAACTCAAAGTGGCTGTTGTTTTTCCGACCACTGACCATTTCCAACACGATTACTCCTAAGCTATAAACGTCAGATTGTTTCAGAGAATATGCCATCGATTGCATATTCTGGAGACATGTAGCCACTGCATTCTTCAAACTTACAGTTAATAACCATGTTCTTGTTCGGTAATATGATTGGTATATCAATTGTAACAACCAGGTTCTAGGACATGTTCTAGCATTTTCCTGCACACCGGGAAAACTCCGGTTGTTACAGTAAATGTTTACTTTCTAAGTACAAGCTCATTTTTTAACTCCACTTGCCCTTGTGTTGATCCTCTAGATAATCTCTTTATTGTCACTTCTAGTCCATCTCCCAGAGTTCCCTAATGATGAACAAGTTTTAAAATGTTAGAGCGCCGTACACCTTGAAAACGAGTACAAAGCCACCATTTCCGAGCAATTTTCTGGCGAGAACCGTTTGTAGCGGACACAATTAATTCTGCTGTATATATGTTTAGATTTTGACCTTTGTTTCCAGTTTGAAGCTCTTATGTCACTTGCATCTTCTGAAGTCATTAAGTCAAGTGGGAACATCTCTGTTCAAGCAAGTTTAAGCTTAAATTATGACTTGAAATGATATTCCACCCACCACTCCTTCATCGTAAGACCCCGAAAGAAACCGACAACGGCGGAGGTCCATCATCGCATTGACTCCAAAGCAATTGCATCATTCCAACATATGTACTTACAATCGTTCATGGAAAGACTGGTGTTCCCCATTAGTGTATTGTTGATAGAAACTCTACCTGTAGATCTTATGGATCTCACTTCGTACTTATCACCTTTGCTTCTGCACTTTGGTCCTTCCCATCTCTTGCAACCGTACTCCGTGCTAAAGCCCGTCGTGATGGAACAATAACCCGGCGATGTTCCTTTCTCCATGTACAAATGGACTAATTACAATCGTATAATAAATTATTGTTCATCTAGACTAAAACATAAGGGAAATTGTAGTTCTTGTTTATATCCAAGGACAGAATGTCTCCAGTAGAACATAAAACCCTTTCTCTAAGCCCAACAACTAATAGGTTTCTACAAGATCCCATTCCAGTGTAAATGATCCGTACGGCAGGATCGAATCAATCAACCAAGACATAAGTGACATTCTTCTCCCATGACTGACCCCCCCCCCCCCCCCAATTTCATCGGCTCGGGCAGGAGAGTCAGTTGGATGATCAAAGCTTTACCACAATACTAAGTGTTCTCCGTTTGTAACTTGCAAAACAAGATTTCCCGAATTGTATAACACGAGGTTCATATCGGAACTGTTGATGGCGACAGAGGTAGATTGAAGTGAGAAAAGGTTGATAGGATTCCCACCGGTACAATTAATTTTCATTCCGGTATTGACTACAATGAGAACTCTCGAGTCATCAGCAATGGGGTCGTCTCCATATCGTCTACACGCAATGATGGGAATCCAATCCAACTTTTCTCACTTCGGTCTACCCCTATCAACATCAACAACTCGGGCAATCTTGTTTAGCAGGTACAAACATAGAGCAAATAAGTGATGCAAAGAGGTGTTGATCTATAGATGCAGTAGCAAACTACTTTAATGTTTGATCTACAATCCTGACTTTAGTGTCAATTAGATTGATTATATAATTATCTCAAACGGTTAATTCTTATTTTGATCGTATATCAATTAATCTTTGTCCATCAAACAATCCCAAAGACGTTCCATAAATATAATTTTCTGACAGTTTATTATTTTTTGGATAAGTTGTATTTTATTACCCAAAAGACAGCAGCCAAGATGCTACAAACATCCAAACAACCAAAAAGAACTCACCCTACAGAACTACACCCCAAGCAATACATAACTTCACCCCCCCCCCTTCAGTCCACACAACCGCAAGACAGCCAAACCATTCTTTGAAGGCAACTTCCGCAAAACAGTCATCCAAACAATAATAACATGTTTTGGGACATGTAACGGAAGCCAAACCATCCTATGCCAAAGAGCCTTAGGATGCTTGTCACGAATCTCATACCAAATCAAGCGTAAATCGCCAGCACAATCAAAGAGAGGCCGAGCCTCTGCCCTCATATTCAGAAGCTTACGAATACTCCAATTTGCATAGGGCTTCTTTAAGGTCATACGCTTTTAACAATTTCTGACAACTTTACTAACAACAAAATTGATAATTTTAATCAAATTTTGGGATAAATTTTGCAATAAAGTTATATTAAGAGTCTTATTTTAGATTTCAAAATTAAACATTCTAATTCGGTCAAAAAATTAAACTCATTTATCTCATCACTTATTCACATAAATTCTCACGTTAATATATATAATCATCAGGTCAACGTAATATATCGTTATCAATATAATTAATTACTACATTAACATCATAACGATCAATGTTGATTTTCATCAACAACAAACAATGATAAATCTATGAATATTTTTAGAGTAAGCACATATATATATTAATAATATAATTTTTTTTGTATAGGGTGAGTACAAATATATATTTTTTAAATATAAAAAGATGTATAATTTAAAATTTATTTTTTATGTTAAGTATTTTTTTAATTAAGTCTTGACGAATGAAAGTAATATAAGTAAAAATATATTTCTAACTATTTATATATATTTTTAAAAATATTCATTCAATAAAAACAAATAGAATAATGAAAGATTTTTATATAAATATATAAAATGGTGTTAGGGTTAATAATTCTAAACCTAGAGTCCAGTCCTTCCAAAACATCAACACGTCACCGCCATCTGCATTTACAAGCAATGTGCAATCCTCTCATTAAATAAAAAGAAATAAAAAACATAATTGGAAAAACCTAACCCTAGAAATCCAAAACAACAAAAGAAAAATCCGAACAAGTAAAGGATTAAGATTTCGCGTTTGAGTTGGATTTCCAAGACGGTTGATGCTGAGTTTTGGTGGAGTTGAAGAGGATCAAAGAGAGGGTTCTTCCAATAAATGATCTCTCTTTATATCCCCTTCAAAGTGGTTTCCTCTTTCATGTCTTCTTCAATCATATCCTCTTTATTCTCTTCACATTCAGGGTTCTCCCAAGCCCTAGGCTTTGATCTTTTCTCTATAGTTCTCGTTTCATCTCAAACTTCTCCTTTGCATAAAACATGAGTGATTCTAAGGTTTATTCATTTTCCCCTTAGCTCTTTTCAACGATTTCAATTTCTTTTTAGTATATCTTTTATATATGGATTATTGTTAAATGTGCACCATGTAACTTTCCTTCAATCCTGAGATAGGTTTACTTTTGGTTCGTTGTTCAGCCCTTAAAAGTTTAGTTTAGTTTTTTTTTGGTGGGGGGGGGGAGGTGGTGGAGATAGGGTTGGGTTTTTAGAGAATCAATGTTTTCTAATTGTTTGATGATTGGTAGCTGGGCTTACGTACATAACAAATATGATTTGGTTGTAATTGGATTATTATGAATGATGAACAGGTATTTGTTTTTGGGTCCTTCACTGAAGATGAAACCAGGTCAATGCTGTCAAAACAGTCACCTGGGAAATCTGAAAAGCCTGTGGAAAAGAAGGAATTGCGATTTGGTTCTTTTAATTGCTCAGCTGGAGGGTCTTTGGGAAGTACCAATGGTAATTTAAGCAACAAGCTAAGTTTCTCGAATGGGGCTGTTGAGTCTTCATCCTCAACTTCTCTAATTGAGGAGGTAAAAAGTAGTCAAACAAGAATAGATCATTCCTCGAATGCAACTCAAATTCCAAAAGAATCTGCAAGTGCCAAGAGTTCGGGCAGTAGTGGCATCAATAATGGCATAAAAAAGCCGAATGCAAAAGGCATTGATGCAACTCCACTGCAACTATCCCTAAATGAATATGGTCCTTTGAATGATTCTCGGAGTTCAAAATTTCACATCCTTGAGAGCCACATTATAGAGGGTATAGATCAGAATGGGACGAAAGATATTTCAGTAGTAAGATCTGTTCAAGGAGACATTGCAAAAGAAGCGAAGGATCCAATTAAAGTTGTTAAAAATTTATCACCCCGTGGCTTGATTAACTCTGGAAATTTATGCTTTCTCAATGCCACTTTACAGGCTCTCCTATCCTGTTCTCCTTTTGTCCAGCTCTTGCTGCGATTTAGATGTTGTAAGGTGCCCAAGGTGTGTTGTGTACTTATGTTGTTTCCCTTAACTTATGTTCTAATAAATGATCATCAGAAGATGATCAAATATGAGCTTTTCGATAGATTTAACCTAACATAGCTTCTGTTGGTTTTGATTTGATAGGTTGGCTATCCAACATTAACTTCTTTTGCTGAGTTTCTAGACTTTGATGTGTCATTCGCCGATTCTAGTTTGAAGAAAAAGGATACAAAAGCCCTTGAGATCGGGAGACCTTTCAGCCCTGTCATGTTTGAATCTGTCCTTAAAAGCTTTACGCCAGATGTTCCAAATAGCATATCTGGTAGGCCAAGGTTTGTATACTTTCTACGCAATTATTATTGCTATATTTATAATTGTTAGTCCCAAGTAGCCTTTTTTTACGTAGACCATTTCTCTTAAAATAGCTAGACTTGATCAGTTAACAAGGTGTTAGTATTGAAATATCACCCTCCATGATCATGGAGTAGGACTGATATTTATATATGCTAGTCCTGGCCATCGAGATTTCTTTCTAATGCTTTCTGGAATGCTAAAACTGTTTGAGAGCTTAATAATCTCACCTATCAATCTCTCTCTCCTCCCATTTGGTCTCAATTGTTTAACAGTTAACTGCCACCTTGCTACAGCTTCCTAGTCATCATTTTATTAATAATATTGTTATTGATTTAAAATTTTAAATATTTGTATATGCCTGAAATCAGAGCTGTAAATATATTTAACTATGTACCATTTTCAATGAAATAACATTGTGATGAATTTTGTTTATCATCCTTTTCAGGCAGGAAGATGCTCAGGAATTTTTAAGTTTTATCATGGATCAAATGCATGATGAATTGGTTAAGCTTCAAGGGCAGTCCAGTAGCTCAAATGGGGTTAGGTCTTCACTAGTTTCTTCTGAGGAAGATGATGAATGGGAGACTGTTGGACCAAAAAACAAATCTGCAGTCACAAGAACTCAAAGCTTCCTTCCATCAGAGTTAAGTGATATTTTTGGAGGACAGTTGAGAAGTGTGGTGAAGGCAATAGGTAAGGACATTTGTTATGGCTGCCAAGTATATTGGATTATATGAATGTAATCAATTCATGGGGTTATTTGTTTGGTTACGTACTTATATGGGGTTTGCTAACCTCTTTTTATTTTTTTAATTCACAACTCTAGTGGCCCGAACCTTGCCTAAACAACCTAAACACTGATATAGAGAAACCACATGTTAATTTTTATCTGTAAAGAAAGTGAAAATACATATTCATCTTGGTTGTCTCCATCTATCAAATCCAGATGTTAGCTTTGTTTCTTGGGTGGATTTCGTACCCTCTTTCCTGGATATAGTACTATTTATTAACATTGTAATGTTTTATTTTTCCTAATTATTGTGGCAGGAAATAAAGCTTCTGTTACTGTTCAACCATTTCTATTGCTCCACCTTGATATCCATCCTGAAGCTGTTCATACTATTGAGGATGCACTTCATTTGTTCTCGGCACCAGAAAATCTTGAGGGTTATCGTGCATCGACAGCTGGGAAGGTATTTATTTCTTTTAATTGATTCCTTTCTGCTGTTGCTACGTTTATAAATCTCAAGCGTGTTTTTTTATGTTATGGCTCATACTTTCCTGTATGCCAGGCTGGTGTTGTTACTGCCAAAAAATTTGTCAAGATACAGACACTTTCAAAGATAATGATTTTGCACCTGATGCGCTTTAGCTATGGAAGCCAGGGGAGTACTAAGCTGCATAAGCCTGTACACTTCCCACTTGAGTTGGTATTGGGTCGGGAACTACTTGTTTCTCCGACCATTGAGGTAATACTTCTTTGCATTCACTTGTTTAAATACGAGTACATTGCTTTATCTGCTATGATTATGCATTCATGTTCTTTATTCTTTGCCTCCTAATTTGTTTGCAATCCAGTATTCAACATTTACTTCTGCACTTTATTTATAGGGCCAAAATATGAACTTGTTGCTACGATAACCCATCATGGAAGTGAGCCCTCCAAGGGGCATTATACGGCTGATGCTCGTTATCCCAACGGCCAATGGCTGCACTTCGATGATGCTTCTGTCACTGCCATTGGGACAAACAAGGTGTTACATGACCAAGCATATGTTCTCTTCTACCAACAAACATAGAAGTCCCGGTTTTTATACCTCATTCGCACAATATTCAACCTCTTTGATTATTCCTTCCCGTTTAACAGTTGGTCAAGACTCACGCCTTACCTTCAGATGGAGAATTTAACTGGAACTGATATATATAGATCATCTTTTGTAACGATAAACTGAGGAAGTCCTTGAAATTTTTCTAATGTTTCTTAAGTAGTGATTTTGTTTTGTTTTCTTATTATTTATTATGAGTATTGTTATATGAGGAAGTCCTTGAAATTTTTCTAATGTTTCTTAAGTAGTGATTTTGTTTTGTTTTCTTATTATTTATTATGAGTATTGTTATATGCATAAAGTTAAAGACAACTCCTTTTAGGTAGAGTAATTATGCATGTATACAATACATTGGACATACACTATTGTATTTGTGTGTACATGTTATTTGCTTTTGGAGAATATCCGCCATTATATTTTCATGGTTTAGCTACATAATTGGTCGATTGACAAAAGATCTAGTCGGTTTTATTTTTTAAAATATTTCCAATGATGAATTTATACTGCCTCTATTGCATCTATAATAATATATATGCTTTAACCAAGGAGAGCTGCATACAAAAGTTCATTCCAAGTATCTGTAAGGCCAGCCACACCAATGGGTGCAATCCATCCCCTTGAAGCCATTGTAAGAGCTAGGGTGTGCATCTTTTCTTAGTTGTGACAAAAGCTGTAATATCCAGCAAATGAACAGGCTTCTTGATGCTACTGATCACCTCTTTAACCACATGTGCTGCCTCAGGCAACCCTGCCGGATAAACCGATCCTGTGAATGGTTCTATTTCCTTCAAGCAATTCTTCACTCTTGGCTCATTCCATTCCGCACCACTGAAATTTCATATCATACGAAAACATAGTCAGACAGATATTCAAATTCGAGTAACATAAGGAATTGCTGGTCTCACTTGTAGTGTGAAGGAGAGATCCCTTGAAATATAACTTTAGTTCTGTTAGTATCCACATCTGAATCAACCCATTTGGCCCATGTTGTCAAAGCTGTCCGAAATGCAACCATACGATCAATGTCTTTCACAACTTTTCCTTCAACTTTCAGATAATCCCACCTGCAATTTAACGAGCACATACACTGTTTTTATTTCCCGATGTTAAAAGCTCGGTAATCATGCCGGAGTTTCATTGTAGAGCTTATTACTGTTGTTTCGATCCTCTGCGGTACCACCATAGCCAAGTGTTGAACACTAGCACATCAATGTTCTTCCATAGATTCCCATTCCTCATTGAATTCAGATTCAGAACTCTTCCAATTTTCTCCTCATCAACGTCCACCAAGTGCAGTGAATGAAACAGCATCACGGATACCTTGTAATCCTGACAAATTAATGAATCACGTGAAACATTTTTTTAATCACAGATTCTTACATGGTTTGCTTTTATGATTTACTTTTAGATCTCATCAACAGCGTGACCTGTCAAGTTTTTTATTGCAGGTTTACCTGGAATGTGACAGCGGAAATGCTGTTGTTTTTCAACTCTTGTCTGGTTATGTTGGAATTTGGCACTGCAGCATGGAGCATGCATATTAATGATTGCCAGACGTTGAGACTCAGTGAGTCCCCAATAAACATTATCTTCTTCCCCTTCAATCTCTTCAGAAAATACCCTCCATTAAACCTGGCATTCATTTGTGTCCAATTCAGATGTTTTGAATTTCAAACAAATCCCAGAATTATTGGGAATGCATAATACTAATTTCAACTTTCAAGCACAATAAAGAGTAGTTTCAAGATAAAATCATTTAAATTTCCTAGATCGAAGAGAGATCATCGAATATTTTGATTCTAGAATGAATATGTTCGATACGAATATAAAATTCATTGCTATGATTAGGCAAAAGTTATTGATTTTCCTCTAATTTCCTATTCTTTTTAGTCTAATTTCGTTTTCAATAATTTCCATCACCATCTGACCTTTCATATCATACAACTCATAGCAGGCTGTATTTTAGTTTAATTTCTCCTCCAAAAACTTTAATGCAGAAACTAAAAAGCATACTGAACAATAAAAAACAATGGATCTTATTCTTCAAAACCAAGCATGCAACTGCAGATGACCACATTGACAACAGTAACAAAAGATGACAAGTTCGAGAAAGATCGAATATATTCGTGTACGTAGAACATATACATGTATTTGGCACTTGTACCTAAAGTAGATTAACTTAGGATGAAATATAGAGCATTCATGTTATATCAGATATATCGGTGTGTTCGACACTCCTATCTAAATTAGATTAGCTTAGGATGACATATAGAGCATTCATGTTATATCAGATGTATCGGTGTGTTGGACACTCTCACCTTGGCAACTGGCAGTTGCTTGGTTGCCATCTATATTTAAGGTAGAGGCGATCGGGGCGGCCGTACTTGATGCAGTCGAATTCCTTGCGGATGAAGGGACAAGCTGATGAGCTGTGGAGAGGATAGGAGTGATCAAAAACCCACTTCCCTTGGTACAGATTGCAATCAGTCTCTTGTTTTCTCAACTCAAAGCCATTGCCTTTTGGTTTTGCATGGGCTAAATATAAACATGACAAGATAACAATGGTGATAATAGCTTGAAACAATCCCATTTTCTGAGAATAAAGAGGAGACAATGATAGTTGGGGCTGTTGTTTATACCAGAAAAGGTTTAACTTTGGTCTCTGCAACTGTTGCATGGGAGAGGCTAATTAATTAGAGATGTAGACACATTGTATTACCTTTGTCTGATTAGCTGCTTTTCACATGCAACACATGATGAACCACTCACGGAGTCAAACCCATCATTATTGCATAAATTAAAGTAATTAACATTCAAAAAGGAAACTGAAAAAAAATGCTTTAGCTTTCATTCAGAATGACACCTCTTATCTCCTTGTTGAATTGTTGACATCATGGACCTAAGGAGAATGTGATGTAGGTGATAAATGGTTATGTTGAGGAGCCTTCCTTGATGATGTAGACTGATTATCCATGTCGGTAACTTTATGGTTGAAACTTAGTTATAGTTTAGGGGAATTGTTGCTAAATATGGTTCTTTGGAAGAATTTTCATGAAAAATCATGGTTTAATATATAATTTGATACCTAAATTTGTTACTTTTGAAACTTTAGTGAGGAAAACGAAAACACACTCAAACATTAGAGACCATTTATGTAGTTTACCCTTTTTTTTAAACCCATTTGGTATATCTGAATTTGTCGCTTCTATAAATCTGGTACATGTATTTCCTTGGAACCAATTTGGTACTTATAATTGTCAAATATTATATTTGCTAATTGTATCTATCAAACATAAAACAGAATGATCCATATTAAATAACTTAAATAATAGATTTTAAATTAAATTATAAGTATGATATGAAATTCATATTAATTTAGAAATACATGTACCAAATGCGTATTAGTTTGTCAATATAAGTACCAAGTTGGTTAAAAAGAGAACATAGGTATTACATTTGTTGAAGTAAAAAATTTAAGTAAACACAATTATAGGATATTGGGCTTGTACAGTTATGGATATGCTCTGGCCATTTGATTTTTGCTTTTATACTGTAATAAAGAATGTGCATAGGAAACTGGCCCTGGAAGAACTGAGAAAAAGGGAAGTTGCCTGTAATCCTTCATAACTGTTCCTCTAATAAAATGTGACAAGTTTCGAGGTACTTAACCTTCAATTTTCTTTCTTTTATCATCGGATTCTTGGTCGTTTCCGATGAAGCTGCGTTTCTTGGTTGTGTTCATGTAAGGTCTAATAACCCATTCGATCTGCGCTTCACTCTGCTCCATTGTTCCTAATTTTACCTGCAACATAACCAAGTCAATTGAATTTAAACTGCAATTCCAATGATTTGAGGAACCTTGTAGTTTATCGATATGGCAAGATACTTACCTGATAAAGCCGCAATTCATACCTAGGACCAATCTCCTTCAACTCAACTGATTTAGGACCCCCAGGCTTCTCATATAGATATGATGCTGCATGTTTACATGCTATCAATGAGTGAGGGTGAACACTTCATACCATTGAAACACGGCAGAACAATCTTTGTTGGGATTATAACAGAAAACCACAACTGAGAAGTTGACTCACTTCGAGGTTTCGAAATCAATTGACCGATAGTTCGAAAGTACGCATGATGAAATTCAGTGGTCCCTTATTATCCACTAATGATATCAATATTAATCTACCTTCTAATGCAAAAGAACACAATAAAATTTACAAGATAACCCACCTGAAAGAAATATAGTCAGACCGGTTAGCAAAAGTCACAATTCGTTTTGTATCAGGCTTTGGCACGGGGAATAAATGTTTTAGAATGTTGGCTGTCCTTTCACCAAGCTGGCAAAATAAATTGAAAAAGAAAATAACCCCAAAGGTTCAAGTATGCAAGCATATAATTTGTACCCAATTGCATTATATGATTTATAAATATGGCATATAAAGCGATTAGACTACCTTGGTTTTAAAATTGTCAAGAATCAAATGCGGGTAAGCCTCAGGCATTGTCCCCATGGCATGCAAAAGAACAATAAAATTTACAAGATAACCCACCTGAAAGAAATAAGACCGGTTAGCAAAAGTCACAATTCGTTTTGTATCAGGCTTTGGCACGGGGAATAAATGTTTTAGAATTGGCTGTCCTTTCACCAAGCTGGCAAAATAAATTGAAAAAGAAAATAACCCAAAGGTTCAAGTATGCAAGCATAATTTGTACCCAATTGCATTATATGATTTATAAATATGGCATATAAAGCGATTAGACTACCTTGGTTTTAAAATTGTCAAGAATCAAATGCGGGTAAGCCTCAGGCATTGTCCCCATGGCTTTCTTATCCTTAATGTCATGTCTTGTAACCTAGAGGGAAATATTATATTAAGAAAACAAGCATAGAAATAGAAAATGAAGTAAACAACTGTGCAGGCAAGAGTCATCAAATACTTGCCACATTGAGTAACCCAAAGTATGCAGTGGGACCAAAAGGTAGATGACTTATGATCAAACCATCTGGTATACCCCGATGCTCATGAACCAAAATAACATCTGTAAACTCATGTGCATGGCAGCTTTCAATATTTTCAGATATAACCTGCAAATATGAAAAATAGGGATATAAAATCACCTTCTAATTTTCACTAGAAAACCAGTTTGATGTCAAATAAGTATATAGATTTATAGTGTGAAATAAGTGTGTTAGTGTTCATTATGTGGATCATGACTAGCAGAGCTGAGGCAAAGCTTTCGAAATGGTTTTATTTAAAAGGTGAAAGTTGCAAATCAAAATGGTTGCCACAGCAAAATTGCGTCGAGAAGACTAATGGAGAAATGGTTCAAAGAAAATACAGGTTAAATGGAATGTTGACAATTAAATGAATTACTCTAAACACTGAACACGAACATGACCGTGGCCAGCTTACTGATAATAAAACCAAAGCCAAAACCGATAGTAGTAGTACCACACATATATCATATCCTCAACATAAAAAGCAATGACTTATCAACAATTCAGCAAATGCATCATTACAAAAAGACCACAAAGAAGAATCTAAGGAATAAAGCATAGATTAAGAAACAATGCAATGATGCACTGACCTGACCACCACGATTCATTCGCTCCGCATTAGGAAAGACAAACTTCAATTCCTAGAAGAAATGTGCCAGAGGAAACCAAATTAGTATGTAAAATAAAGCGCGCGCGCGTACACACACAATATCAGAGTAAAGTGGTATTTATCGGCAAAATAGACAAACCAACCTTCACAAACTGTATAAGGGGAGCACTGGGATCCCGAGACGTTGTCAGCAAAATCTTAGGGTCTCGTACGGAGGCATTAGCATACTCATCATCAATATGCGTTTTGGGAACTAAAAATCCACCAAAATTAAGCACTTATATATCAACACCAATCCACAGAGTATAGCAAAAGAAAAAAAATCCAAATTTTAGCAAAAACAAAAATAAACATTACTGGCCGTGTAATCATCTTCAAGGTCAATTTCTTGGCGAAGCACGGCCTCCTCATTCCGGAGCTCAGTCGGAATGGGTTTTCCCTCTACAACGAAACAATTTTTTTATATAAAAAATACTGAACATTTTAATTATGATAAAAAAGAGAGAAAATTGAATAGTACCAACAAGGGCTTCTTTGATCTTCCGTTTCTTCTCATAAAGCAAACGTTCTTTGCCTTCCAAGCTCTTCCTGTACAGATTCTTCTCAAGCGAATGTTCCTTCTCAACATTTCCACTAACGCAGGGCTTTCTCTTCGAGGGTTTAGGGTTATGATTCAAGTCCATACTTTCTTGGGCTTATAATACCCTACTCTATTCGGATTCTTATTAAAAAATGTTTAATTAGTAAATTGCCCCCTAAACTTGACCCAATTTCCACATTGATTCTACACTGTTTTCTGTAGAAGTGATTCCTAAATTATAATTTTTTTATTCAACCATTAAGCAACCTCAATGATAAAAGAGAGTTATTTTTTCTAAAATTTTTGTGTTTGAACAGTTGAATTTAGAAAGTGTGTATATCCATTATCAATTGATTAAGATAATTTTTTTTGACCAAATACTACATTATTTACTTTTTATTTTTAATTTAACATCTAATGCTTTTATTAATTCTTTATATTTCAACAACTTAATATGTTCTTTAATATTTTGTGATACATGGGCTTAACAGACGTTACACATCTTGGTGCACATCAATGGTGAAACAACATAATATATCCAAATTTTGGGGGGAATTTTTATTTTACAAAATTTATATAAAAATATTAAAAATACATTTAATATCACTTTAAAATAAAATTGGGACAACTTTCACCCATGAATTGAAAGAAGTACACCATAAGTTAGGGATGGCTATGGCTGCCAAGTAACTGAAGGCTAAAGAACAAGCGTGAGGGACATGAATCTGGTCCTTATCTTTTGCCAGGTGAATTTTCTCTGGAAAAAAGAAATTCATCGATGTTGGCTTTGCAGTGCGTAGCTCAATCAAACTATGTCATTGAGTAAAGATCCGATTACCGAACCAGAATTTTGATCAAAGTTAACGAGTATATCTGCCATGATTGAATCCCCGATGGTGAGGTAGATTGCAGCACATAAGAGCACCGTACTTCGGACTGCTGATATCATGTCGAAAGATGTTTCCATCTCGGAGCCAATTGTACAAACTTCAATCTCGAAACCAATTTAACTGCAACTGCATTATAGTTTGATCTAAGACAACAAGGTGGAGCCCTTTGCTTTTAGTTTTGATTCCAGACCGAAGAACTTCAACCCCGAAAGCACAAGGTCAGCTGCTTTCTTCTCCATGTATTCAATCAATAATTCATCATATACAATCAGATTAGCTTCGGTTATAAGTTTCCGGATTCTCAAATTAGCAAACACCTTCCTCGCCTCTTCTACGGTCCGGTACTTGCACATGCCGGCTATAATTCCAGAACATACAACGTTATCCGGAGGCAAACCTTCTTGCATCATTTCATTCAACACTTCCATCACTTTCTCAGCACCTGATTCACAAGCGTGGAGGATAGTAAGAGTGTACTTAAATTCCATGGGACCATTTGTAACATTACCTAAGCAATCACGAACCATCATCATAGCTGCATCGATCTCCCCAATTCTGCAGAGACCTTTAGCGAGAGAACGGTAAGCATCAATGGAAGGAACACATACCATCTCTATAATTTTGTTATGGCAGATGCAAGCTTCCCTAATGTTCTCGTCTTCAACATAGCATAATACCACATTACTATATGTAGAGGAGTCAGGCTCGAGATTCATATCCTTCATCTCTTGAAATAGTGATAATGCTTGCTTCACCTTCCCAGTCTTGTGGAGAGCCCCCATCAGAATATTGTAGATTGGGACACTACTGTAACCTTTCGCTTTTAACTCATCGAACACTTGTAAAGCCATTACTGCTCTTTCCTCCTCCTCGACCACAAACGAGAAAAACTTAGAGAGATCATCATTAATAGAAAACCCTAACTTCTGCATCTGCTCTAGCAACTTGCAAAAATCAGACATTCGTCTCATCTCTGCAAATGCCAGCAACATGGGCCTCACAGTTGCAAAGTCCGGCTCTAAGCCCTCTTGAGCGGTTACCTGAAAAAGCTTATGTGCTCTATCAACCAGCCTCGCATCACACAAGCCTTCGATAAGTGAAGTGTAAATCCCCAAATCAGCCCTGTAACCAGAATCTATCAAATCCTTCAACAAACCACAGGCAGAACCAACCTTCCCGTCCTTCACGAATCCTTCTATTAAGACACCATAGATAGCCCTCTCAATCAATATCCCTTTCCTTTTCATATCCTTGAACAACTCGTACCCTTTCTGCACCCTTCCTCCCTTACACAACCCTGCAACTAATGTTACATAAGCCATTACATCCGGCTCCACCCCATCTCGCTGCATCTCCTCCCAAACATGCAAACACCCGTCCAAGTTTCCTTCGGAAACCAAGATCCTAATCATAGCCGTATACGCAAAAACATCCGGCTTACATGACGTGTTCCTCATCTTCCCTAAAACCTCTAGCATTTCTTCGATCCGCCCCGCCTTACATAAACCCTTGATCAAAATCATGAATGTAATGCTTTCCTCCACCAAACCATCCCCTCTAAGATCCTCATACACAGACAATGCTAAATTTAAATATCCTGTTTTGACCAATGCATCCATTACTCGGTTATACAAAAAAACACGCGGCTTAATTCCGAAATTCCTCATTTTCTGATACACATAATAAACCCTTTGTCCTCTATTGTTATCAGCATGCATGCGTATTAGAATTTCAAACTGTTTTTCAGTCGGCGGCTTCCCTTGCGAATCCATTAGCTCCGGTAACTGATCGGCAGCTCGAAAACGACCGTTTCTATTGAGGCAATAAGCTAAAGCATTATAAGAAGCGAAATCATGTTTAAATCCTTTCTGCTTACCAGCCCAACGAAAGAATTTTGAAGCCAAAACGGGGTCGTCTTCGACTTTGAGCACTTCCGCCACGAGCGAGGGAGTAACACGACGGAGCTTATTGAGTTCAAAGACAACAGTTGGTCCCCAAGTGTACTGGTTCTTGCGGAAGGCATCCGTGATGAAGCGGGCGATTGGTGAGAGTTTAGGGTTAAGGCGTGGATTGGGAATGGGCGGCGGCGGCGATGGATTCTGAGAGAGGTGGTGTGGGTCCCATTTATGGAGATCAAAGGGTGGTGAAAGTGGTGGAGGAGTTTGGGGTGTTTTGAGGATCTGGCGGTTCGAAAAGAGGCCGCCATAAACAACTGGACGGTTTTGGGAGGGCTTCCGGTGGCCATAGAAGAAGTAGGGTTTTGGGGAGATGGATTTGGGTGGCATTTTTGGATTTTTACCAAAAAATTTTTTTGGGACGGCTTTCTGCTTCAACTACAAACTTACTGTTTTAGCATTGCCTTGCTTTCTTCTCGAGTTATCAAAATCGTCACTTTAGTTTCTTTTTATTCATTTTTATCATTAATTTAAAAAATAATAATTTGATCACTACACGTTTTAATTTAATCAAATTATATCATTCGATTATCATTGTTAATAAAATAAGTCATTTATATTAATGGCGTTCAGCGAAAAAATTTAAATTAACACTTTTATTTAACATGTTTTTCACATAACATTATCTAATAATATTTAATCGATAATTTAAATATTTTTCATTAAAATTTTCTAACATTTCATTCAAATAAAATCAAAGAAAAAACTATTTTTATATAAATATTAATAAAAAAATTAATTTGTCAATTCAATATTATTTGATAATAATACATGAAAATATAACAATCATAAATCAAAAACTGTAGGAAAAGAATACAATTTTACCCAATCAGACATCAGAATTTTGAATGTTTAAAAAATATTTTAAATTTTATGTGCCACATATCTACTTTAAAATAATTTGATATTTAAGTTTAACGTTTTTAATATATTATTTATATTTTTCCAATATAGTACTTGAATCAAACAATTATTATACATTTTGGTACTTGAAATTATTTATTTTTCTAATGCGATACCTATGTTATTTTTTTCCTCTAATGTGGTAGGTGGGTTTGACAAACATCACATATCATCTCATCAATTGAATGTATAATGGTAGCACATATCAGATTCGGATATCAAAAAATGCAATGTTTATCAAATTCAAATATCATGTCAGACTAAAAAAATACAGATAATGTATTAAAATTAAATTATAATATTAAATTGTAGAAAAATAAAACATAAATACTACATTATAAAAGAATCAAATTCTAATATCCTCTAATGCAAGTGCTTTTAGTGAGCAATTTGTAAAGAACATGTGATTCGATGAAGTAGGATCATTCAGGCATCCAGTTTTTGTAGTATTAAATATCTGAAACTCTTGCAACAAAACCCAAGCTGTCTCTGTTGTAATGAAACAAACAACCAAAAACACTATGATACAAAAAATTATCTGCAAAAAAAGAAAACAAAAAACCAGGAACCAGATCATGACTCATTTCCTGTGACAAAGTTATATATGTTGGTAGAAATCGCGATCGTGCTCGTTACTACTGCCAGAATGATCATCACCGCCGCCAAAATCCTATCCCTCACCGTCGATATGCCCCAAGCATCCCTATAAAGGAAAACAAATCAAAACACTATGCATATTCGCGTGTATGTGTGTATATATGTATGCAAACGGATTGCAGAGGTTCGATACAAGTGCAGAGGTTGAGAGACTACCTAAGACAAATGGCGCCCGGGAAGATAAACGCGAGGCAGACCGCGGAGGTCGATCCCATGAATTGAAAGAAGTACCATATGTTAGGGATGGCTATGGCTGCCAAGTAACTGAAGGCTAAAAGAATAAGCGTGATGGACATGAATCTGGTGTTGTCTTTTTCCAGGAGAGTGTTCCCTGGAAAAAGGAATTCATCGATGTTGGCTCGTAACGAAAAGTTTAAAAGAGGGAACACCAGCATGAGGTGCAATGCGTAGCTCAATCGAACTATGTCGTTGAGTAAAGATCCGATCGCCGAACCGGAATTTTGATCGAAGTTTACGAGTATATCTGCCATGATTGAATCACCAAACAGTAGGTATCCGAAGACTCCGATGGTGAAGTAGATTGCAGCACATAAGACCATCGAAATTCGGACTGCCGATATCATATCGGAAGGCTTTTCCATCTCGAAACCGATCGGATGAACTGCAACCATTCATTAAAACCTTTTGAATGAGAATTTTTTTGTGACAAATACAACTAAGTAGGCCAAATTGTTTTCACTTCTCACCATTGAAATGAAATGTGAAAGCTGTGACAATTACTGGGACAGCAGTGAAGAGATCGAAGAATGATGCTTTGTCGCCGAATTCCGGTAGCAGTCTCAGGCTATTCGCTTTCCCTTCGAAAATCGACATGATCGCCATAACCGAACTTATGCCGACGAACACTACAGCAAGAAAAACTGATATTGCAGAGCTGAACCTCAAGGAGTCTGCAAATTGAGCACACTAAAGCTTAGTTCTTCGGCCGGTACGACAATTATAAACCGATGAAAAGGCTTTTTGAGTATACTGACCTACGCGCTTGAACATAACCAACGGAAGCAGAATGACGACGAGGGTGACGAGGAGCGCGAAAGCACGCGAGTTCCACCAGTGAATTCCAAACCATTGTTGCAGAACACCTAGGTGAACTGATCCTCCAGGTTGATTTCCTGATAGAACATCCCCTGATGGGAAAAACATTGTCAAATATCGGAATAAACAATCCGAAACCGACAAATCTAATAATTGATCATGTCGAAAACGCATAAAGCTAGTAATTCCAGTTACCTATGATGATCAAATAAATGATGAGGCACCCAAGATTAGTGATCATCACACATATCTGCACAAGGATGGATCCAACCTTCCCAAACGACTCCCTCATGACACCGGCGTACGTAGTCGTGTCGCCGGCATGAGTGTATCGCATCAAGAACTCAACCGATAAATCTGTGCTAGCCAAGCTATAACCACAATCATCACAAACGCAGGAATCACACCTAGAACCTTGACTGTTGCAGGGATTGACATTATCCCAGCACCAATAATGCTGGTGGACACGTTAAAAACCGCACCGGATACCGACGGAGGCTTCTCCGGAGACTTCCTGCTATCGGGGAGCAGTGGTGCGTTTACTCCGGCAGCCGGCGACATTTTCAGAAGATGGAAAATTTTGCGGTTGGTGAAAGTAGAATAATTTATGTGTGTATATAAAGATGAAGATGCTGATTGCGGAACAGTCCAATGACATAAATGTCACCAGTTGACAGTGAGATCTAAGGAAGGGTGCGTCAGGAATTAAGTAATTTACTCAGTTCAATCATCATTATAATTTCTTTTTTAATCAAGGGACAAATCAGTGGGGTAATGCTGTCTTGGATGAATGTACATACATGGAAAATGTTTAAAATGGACACGAAAATGAATCTGGACTTAAAAGCAGGAGATAGGAATCACCAGTTTAATAATTCGACTAACCATCCTCACGACGTGGTATTCAACGATTGGAGTTAATTAGTCCGATTGTTTTGAGATGTCTATGTCGTGTGGGTACCCCAACCCTAAATGAGATTAATTTACACCCCGAAAAGTCTATTAGCTTGCATATTCTTAGTCAGCATAATGGTTTTTCCTCATAATCACTTTCTAAATTCATACTTTTCTCATATGGGATAAAAACGTTTTAAGATACCATATTTTCCTCAATAATATTTACATATGACTTATTTTAAATATTAATTTATCTTTTATCATTAAATTATTTTGATCATAATTTTTTTTAAAAGTCTCATGAATAAAATATAAAATTATAATATCATTATTTTTTATAAAATAATATCATTGTTTAAATATCTAATTTTATCAATTAATAATGTCTCAAAATCTCAATATTTTCTAAAAGAAATCATCTGAGGTAACCGTAGAACTCCATGTCCAAAGGGTCAATGGAGACCTAAAGGTTTAGGCTTTGTATGGTTAAAATGTGCAGTTTAATGAAGGCGGCCCACAGAAAAAAAAACGTTTTTTTCTGTGTAATTCTTTGGTAAAAAAAATTTAACCTGTGTTTTCACTTATACTAACCCTATCTCTCTCTATATAATAATAAGTCAAAGGTGTTGATTTCTTTTCAACTTTATGGTGCAATAAAATCTGGTAAAGGTTGTATGAGCTGGCCAAGCTGCTTTATTTGACCTTTAGCATGGCCTCTTGAATTCTCTATAACATTCTCTTGCGAGTATGCTTCACATGGTGATAAGAGACAAGCTTTAAATACAACAACAAATTTTTATCATTTTGTCTTCCAATATAAAACTACCCCGCGCTCCACAGGTTAGTAGCTATGGCAATTATGCTTGTCAAAATAGCCAACATTATCACCAAAATGGCTATCATCTTATCTTGTCTTGTTGATATCCCATGAACATCCCTGTGAAGACAATGAAATCCCATTTTGTAAGTGATGAAATCTGTTTGCATGCAGTTATTATCGAGTTCAAGTTTCGAGATTGATTACCTGAGAACAATGGTTCCTGGAAAAATGAATGATAGGCAAACAACAGTTGTTGATCCCAGGAACTGGAAGAAGTACCAGATATTCGGTAGGACTATGGCGATTATATACGAAACAGTGAGCAATACGCAAGTGAGAATCGCGAATCTCGTGTTGTCTTCGGCTAGGATGGGCTTCTTTTTGAAGAGGAGTTCGTCGATGTTAGCCCTCAATGAGAAGTTGAGTACTGGAAAGACTAGAGCTAGGTGCATCGCGTAGCTTAATCGAACTGTATCGTTTATGAGTCGACCAATTGCGGAATCCGAATTCTGATCGAAGTTCACTAGGATATCAGCCATGATGGAGTCCCCGAAGAGCATGTACCCGAAGAAACCGATAGAGAAGTAAATGGCTAAGCAGATTGCTAAAGAAACCCTGACAGCATATCTCATATCAGAAGGTCTGCTGAGTTCTGACCTTATGGGATGAACTGCATTCATATCCAAAGATTTTAAGTTCGTCATAATAAAACCGAAATCGCAATGCTGGAATCGAGAAATGCAGTTCGATTACCGTTAACATTAAAACTGAATCCGGTTACGAGGACCGGAACAGTAGTGAAAAGATCAAAGACAGAGACTTGATTGGCAAAGTCTGGTAGTAATCTAATGTTCTGTGTTTTCCCTTTGCAAAATGCATAAATTGCCATTGCCGAGCTTATGGCAATGAACACCAATGCAAGAAGAATTGATATTGCGGAACTGTGCCTCAATGAATCTGTCATACAATGAAGTGCAAAAAGAACAAAAACTTCAGAATCAGATGCCAATAACACTTTAAAAAACACACCAATTTAGCCATTAAAATCAGTTGACTAACTCATATGAGGCAAGGACACCAATGGAAGCATAACAAAGAGCACAACCAAGAGTATAACATAAGCACGAGAGTTCCACCAATGAATCCCAAACCATTCCTGCAAAACCCCCAAATGCAAGGTCCCCCCAGATTGATTCCCACACAGAACATCTCCTAGAAAACAAAAAATTATTATTACATTTTAATGGATTCAAACACCAAAACCAGTAAAAACCCAGAAAAAGGAAACAGAAAAAGCTACCCACTTACCAATTATAATCAAGTAAATGATGAGACAACCGAGGTTAGTGATCATAACAGAGATTTGAACAGCAAGGGAACCCAATGATCCAAATGACTCAGCCATTAATCCAGCATAAGTCGTTGATTTTCCATGTTGAGTGTACCTCAACAAGAATTCAACCGTGATTTCAACCAAGACAGCAACCATGAACATGACGGCAAAGCCCGGAATGATTCCTAAAACCTTGATGGTGGCCGGAATCGACATGATTCCGGCTCCAACCATTGTTGTGCAGATGTTGAACACCGCACCAGAAACTGATCCAAGGGCTCTTGGAGACTGGGTTTCCAGTGAATCTGCATCAGATAAAAGTGCACTGAGATCACTGGAACCAGCTTCTGTTTCCTTCATGCTGTGTTTTTGGAATCAGAATAGTTTCTTTGCTCCTTGGAGAGTTATTATAGAAGAATGAAAATGATTGAAGCAGATTGCAGGATATTGAATTATCACCGTTTGCTATAAAATAATGAATAAATTTCGGTTGGTCTGAAAGGATAAGGCTTTATGACAAAGCAATCAGCTTGTGCACATCTTTTTCTTCTTCTTTCTTCACGGCGTACCGCCGTCAAAACTCCAAGACGTGCGATTTTTTACCATTTATGTTGCAATTTATAAGGAAAAATAATTCAAATAAATCATATATATATATAAATAAAATTTATTATGGCTTGATATTTGGTCTGTTCTTACCAACGAGAGAAACAAATAACTATTATAAGAATTTATTGGATAGTTAGTGATAATAAGAAACGTCTTTTTCTTGTAGATTTTTCTTCAAATAGTTGTGTATATAAAATGTATAATAAAAAATAAGAAAAATTTTAATATAATATTATTATATAATCACTTTAAACTATTAAAAGAAATTGATTATACTTTAAAATTTCTAAATCAAACTAAACAAGATTTCTATTAAAAAAAACTAAATAAGATTCGAACCATACTCTCTTATAATTTGCTTACTTGGATATTATTAATTCACAAATTTATATATATTTCAAAATATTTCATAGACTGCAACATGCATATCAAGAGATTTTCATATTATTGTTATAAAAAGAAAATTTTGAGTTTTTGACTTTTTAATAAAAGATTATGACTTTTTCCCTAATTTTAATTTTTAATTAAAAATTAAAATCAAAGAAAAAAATCAAAATGAGAAAGAGAAGAAAAAAAGCTAAATGAATGAAAATAAACAAAGATGAAACGTAAAAATAATTACAAATTTTATTTTGAAAGAAGACAGTTTAAAAATCAAGAATTTTGATAATGAGATTTTTTTAACCCTTTCATTGTATATATATAATTTTTTAAAAATATTTAAATATTAATTTATTAAAGTGATTGAAGACACTATTCAAACACACGTATAATTACTGTTTGGCTCGTAACAAACACATGTCGCTTGTATTTTTGTTCTTTTTAGACTCGTAAGATTCTTTTTTTACATTTTAACCCATATTTTTATTCCTTTTATTTGACGTACGTCCTTCCTTTCATTTTAGTCTTTAAAATTAAAAAAAATTGAAGATAATCGTTAGGGAATGATATCGACTTCCCCAAAATTTAAAAATATTACAATATAATCATTAAGAAAGCATGATGATTTTACCAAAAACATCGGAAAATTTGACGAAATTGACGAATACTGTAGAAAGTCTTCAAAATCTTTAAATAATTTTTTTAACAACAATATTACTCTCATCTAACGGGTTTTCTTTTTATTTTCTGAAAAATATATTCCAAAATGGCTTAATACCACTTTGGTCCTTGTACCATGGTCAAACTAAGAATTTAGGTAAAATACAGGGACTAAAAAAGTGGCATTAAGCCATCTAGAAACGTTTGAACCTTGAAGCCACCTGATGAACATCGGGACCACTTCAATTCAAACATTCAAAGGAAGATCCTCCTCTGCTGTAAGACTTGTGATTGGTCAAAACGAGTGATCTTGTCATGTCTGAAAGTTCACATTTCCTGCAGTTGCTGCAACTAAATCAAAAGCGGATATCTTTCGTTTTAGAAACAAATTCCATTGCAGCTTCTCTCATGAATCAATTTCTCTGCTTTCAATAACCCTAAATTTCAGCCAATAAGTTTGCTTCTGTTTCACCTGATCAGGTCAGTCTTCCTTCAAATTTTTGTTTATATTTGCTGATTTTTTATTTGTTTGTTAGATGAAAGAAATTTAGCAAATTTCTGGGTGTTCTTTCATTTATCTGGAAACTCTTCTGATGCTAAAGACCAAATTTTATTTGTTTGCCGACAATCGAAGAAATTTTAGGGTTGCCAACTAAATAAGTGAAAATTATTAAGAGTAACAACTCTTCTGGTTTTGCTGCATATGAGCTTCTCCTGCATATTTCTGGGATTTGATTTGAGGGTTCTATTTGATATTAGAATGGCTTCAAGTCATAATGGGAATTCGAAAGAGCCAATTGAGGAATCCAAGCAAATTTCTCTTCACGTTTCATCGTCGAGAAAGACGCTTCTAAATGGTGAAAACCCTCAAAGAAAGTCCTTTATCAGCTCTATGTCTCCACCGAGTAGGCTTAAGTTTCTTAATTTCGGTTCTGCATCTGCTAGTTCCAAGTGTTTAGCTCAAGAAAGAGACAAGGTTTCTCGGTTGGTGGCTTCTTCAAGTGGCCATGGGATACGAGAACGTTTGTCTGGGGTTTTCACCAAAAAGATCAATTGGGTTTCTGTCCTGAAAATGAGCAAGGAATGGATTAAGGACCCCATGAATATGGCCCTTTTCGTATGGATCCTGTGTGTTGCTATCTCGGGTGCTATTTTGTTCCTTGTCATGACCGGAATGTTGAATAAGGCGCTCCCTAAGAAGTCCCAGAGAGACGCCTGGTTCGAAGTCAACAATCAAATTCTGAATGCTCTGTTTACTCTCATGTGTTTGTACCATCACCCTGAGCGATTTTACCATCTTGTGCTTCTTTGTAGATGGAAACCGGAAGATGTTTCCCGGCTCCGAAAAGTATACTGTAAGAACGGGACTTATAAGCCCCATGAGTGGGCACACATGATGGTGGTTGTCGTGCTACTCCATATAAACTGTTTTGCGCAGTATGCCCTTTGTAGTCTGAACTGGGGATTCAAAAGATCCGAGCGACCTCCGATTGGTGTTGCGATATGTATATCATTTGCAATAGCTGCACCGGCATTGGCTGGTCTTTACACCATTATTAGCCCTCTTGGGAAGGATTATGTTTGTGAAATGGACGAGGAAGCACAGAAGGTGGTTGATGATGGTGAAAGTAGGAGATCGGAGCAGTCGAGACGAAAATTATTCGAGAAACGATATTCATTCGCATCCGGAGATGCAGAACAAATCTTTGAGAGCAGACCTCTCTGGAGTGGAGGGATACTAGACTTCTGGAATGACATTTCTCTAGCATATCTTTCTGTTTTCTGTAGCTGTTGTGTCTTCGGGTGGAACATGGAGAGACTCGGGTTCGGGAACATGTATGTACATATTGCTACTTTTCTCCTGTTTTGTATGGCCCCTTTCTGGATTTTCAACTTGGCTGCTGTGAATATCGATAACGAGACTGTCAGAGAGGTTCTCAGTTTTACCGGTATCGTTCTTTGTCTGTTCGGTTTATGTTACGGTGGCTTCTGGAGGATTCAAATGAGAAAGAGATTCAATTTGCCGGCGTACAATTTTTGTTTTGGTAATCCAGGAGCTGGTGATTGCACGCTATGGATATTCTGTTGTTGGTGCACTCTTGCTCAGGAAGTACGCTCCGGGAATTCTTATGATATCGTAGAAGATAAGTTGTTAAGAAAACAAACGAACAACGGTAACGAGCTGCCAATGTCGCCTTTACCTCGTGAAGGCGGAAGTTTCCAGTTCAGTCCCGGCCCCGGTTCTTTGCCCGTATACAATTCCAGCCCGACCACGAGATTTACAGCCAATTCTTCGAGTCCCATTTCAAAGGAATATTATAGTCCGGACAGGCAACTTTCTACGGTGAAAGAAGAGTCTTCAATTGGAGGTAAAGATGAAACCATGATTCCACCTACTCCGTCTTCGATACAGAGAGAAGAAACATAACTGAGGAAATTTTCCGAGCAGCGGTGTCATTGTCTGACGAATCAATGTTCATATTACACGCTTTTTAAAATAATTATTTCAGACTCTAATCTTTCCTCTATGAAAGTATCTTAGTAAAGAGAAAGATAGATATAGACTACCACGAACATGAAACAAGAACACGTTAAAATAATCGCTAAAAATATAAGGAAAATAATCTTATAAAACAGATATTATATTGTACTTATCCCATATTAATAAAAAAATATTAAAAAGAACTAAAGTATGTCTTCAAATATAAGAGAGAAACTTACCCGATCAAAGTGTGTCTTCAAATATGAGAAACTTATGAAAACATTTCAAATATAAGAGATAATTTACAAAATACCATCTTTGATTTAATTTAAAAGATTGAATAATAATAAATAAAGCCTATAGAACTCTTAATAAATTAAATAAATGACAAATTTTATCCTAAATTATATGGAGTAAAATAATATAAAGTATTATGCTAACTTTAATCACAAATAACCAGTATAACAATTAAAAAATCATAATACATTAAAAGTCTCGTACTGAAATCGTATATAATTCTATGTACGTGTTATATTCGTTAAAACATACATATCTTAAGTTCTACGTCCAATTGAAACATTTCAAAAAAAATAGAAATGTAACCGAAAAACAATTCATTAAGATGAAACTCAATCTAAAAATATTTAATTCTTATCATAAAATTTATCGTAAGTCAACTGATATTCCATACTTTAAAAACAACCACAAATCTTTATCTAAGATTCACCTTTGTCATCCTCGTATCACAGCCCATACCTTTCATGTTAACGTGATTATCGAGTTCATTTTATTATTAGTTAAATTAATTAATTTCATTTGTTAAGAGTTTAGTGGCATGTCCAGTGTCTACAAAAGCCGTGGCAATTATTTCCCAACAAAAGCTATCCCAGTGGGGTGTACTGTTAATAGCAAAGGCTTCATTACGAGGAGTCGAGGAGGATGGTGGTCTTGTCATTTTTTTCTACTTCTTTGCATGGGTCATTATCATGGCCAGCGAGACACCAGCTTTCTTGTATTCTTATTCGTGTTTATTATTATTATCATCATAAATGTAATTATTATTATTGAATTAATAGTAAGATGACTATTGAATGCGAACATGTTAATGAACATATAACTAATCATGTTCACGAATAATATAAATAAATACAAATCAAATTATTTATCAATCCCAAAAAAAAATTATGGTAAATTATATAAATGGTCCCCGACTGTAGAACACTTATTTGTTGAGTCTCTTGACTATTAAAAGTTATAAAATAATCTATTAATTATAGGATGTTGCTTTGTTAAGTCATTCAACTATTAAAAGTTACACAATAATCATCTGATTATTCATACTTTCTAAACTTGTCGTTTTGAGTCAAAAAAATGACGGTCTTTTGAGCTAGACGCTAATTTTTTGATTGAGATATGATAAAAATATTATCCCATAATAGTTTGGGATGTATTTTATGGACCGAGTCTCTATTTATATTATGTCGTCGAGTCAGTATTTGAAATATTATGTCGTCGAGCCAGTGCTTGAAAGCAACGGCGGTACTAGTAGACATCATTTGTTTTTTGAAAGGGAAGATTTTGCATGATTTCATTGAATCTGTACAAAATGAGAAGCGAAACATGAGTCTCGTTAAAATATAATTTTATCATATCTTAGTCAAGAGGTTAACGTCAGCTCAAACGATCGTCAAATTTTTAACAAAAAATGATGAGTTTAGAACATATGAATAGTCGAGAAGTGAACAAAGCAACATCCTATAGTCGGAGGATCATTTTTGTAACTTTTGACAGCTGGGGGACTCAACAAAGCAACATCATATAGTTGATGGATCATTTATGTACTTTACCAAAAAAATATGTAGATGTTGAGATTTGAACTTTAAATTTATTATACTACGGATTCATAATTCTTTTTTTGGTATATTTTCGACGTTGAAAAAAACTTGGTAGAGAAAATAAAAGAGTAGATGAGTGGGCAAGAGTCACTAAGAGTTGGGAAATGGTGTGATTTATCAAGTGGGAATAAAGGAAGAAAATTTACCAGAACTAGTGTATTAACAATATATTAGGGAATTAGATTCCTTCCAAACATTGCTTTAATTGTATATTTCAATTGTCAAACCATTTATTTAATACAAGCACTATTGTGCCAACCAACAAAACTAGACTCCACTCGATTAATTTAGATTAGATATTATAATCTTTTTAATATAAAATTTACATTTTTAACCTTCAAAATTCTATTGTTTTTTGTCGGTCCTAAGATAAATTCCTAGCTTAGCCATTAATTTCACTGCTATTTAGAACTAAAGAGTTAAAAGCAAACCCCTTAATCCGCATCTATTTGCAAAATTTAGGTTGCTATCACTTTTTTAGATTAAAGTAAACAAATGATTTTTGATTATAAAAGCAAACCCCTTAATCCGCATCTATTTGCAAAATTTAGGTTGCTATCACTTTTTTAGATTAAAGTAAACAAATGATTTTTGATTATAAGATATTGTTTTGTTTAGTCTTTTGGTTATTATAACATATGTTCGAAAGATTCAATCATCTGACAATAAACGTTTAAACATCCTTACAAATGTCATGCTCGAATCTAAAACTTCTGAAAATAACAATAATCTCTTAATCACTAAGATCACTTAATTCGAGTTATCGTTATATTTTCTAGCTTGGGGCACATTACCATGTTCCCATGGTTTGCAAAGTGTTGGAGCAGGGCCAGGAGTACAATTTTATGTTAAAAGAAATATATTAAAAATTTTAAAATATAAAAATATAATTTTTTTTAAAGAAAACACAATTAGATAATTGATAAAATATTTAAATTATATAAAAAAATAAAAATACGATCACCCTCAACATCCCTATTCCATACTGTGTCGGAGCAGATGCCTGCATTTCACCATGTTATTAACAAGTGGTGCCCCTTTTTAATCTCCATTTGCTCTTTTATTGTACAAGACAAAGCTCTCTTGTCTTCATTTTCCTAGGACCCGGCCCTAATGTTGATTTCTAGATGTGACAATTGGGATAAAATAATAAATAATTTGAAATAATAAGATATTTCTTATCTATAAATTAAAAATATTTAATAGTCTGAATATGATAAATATGTAATTAAAGATAAATAGAAAATATAACTTAATATTTTATTTGACATCATCTATTCAAACTGTTTATTTAATTTAATATAATTATAAAAATAAAAGTTTAAATTATAATGAAAATATAATTTAAGATGAATATAAGATAATTCAAAAAATTTATCATTTTTTATTTAGGTGATGATAAAGTAGTATATGTTTGAAATTCTCTCAATCAAATAACAATGAACGTGAGACACACCTTGCAAATATCGTCGCTTAACCCTGAGACCTCTAGGGATAATAACACTTCCTTTAATCATTAAGATCATAATAAATTAAAAAAAAAACAAGACAACGTGATGAATATAAAGTATAATTTAATATTTATTTAATTTTATCTATTTATAATAATAATTATATTTTTAAATTTATATGAAGTGTAATTTAAGAGTACTATAATGTAATAAAAATAACTTTTAATTTTAAAATTATTAATAATAATAAATTTTTAAAGAAATTAAAATTTTATATTATTAAAGTTCAAAAAATGATAAATTGTGTTTATATAAAAAGTCAAATTAGCACGGTATTTTTTCTTTTTCTTTTTTTTCTAATTTTTTTCGTTGTTTGTTTGGAAAGTGATATTAAACGACTATTACCTATATTTTATCATAAGCTTTATTGTATTCTCAATTACCTATATAAAAAGTCAAATTACCTTTTCTTTTTTTGTTTGTTTATATGATGAATTCACATTGCTTTTAACTAATCCTTACTATAGGCAACTTAACTAGGGTCAACAATGGTCGGTTTGACCAGATTTCCTGACTGCTTACCTGTATGCCTACCCGCATAAGATTATAGACGAAAACAAAAAATCATTTATCAACACCATTGGCCGGTGGCCCCCGTCTACCGTATCACCATTCTGATCCTCCCACGTGTACCCATATTTTCACATTATTTTATATTGGGGAATTCTCATCTTAACCCCTAAATTATATGAACCAAATTTAATTTCGTCATAGACATATTTATAATTAGACCTTTTGAAAACTCCATATAATTTATCAGAGACAAATTTGATTATACTGTTATCATATGACTGATACCAACTATGTTATGATGAGGATACTTGTACCTCAAAGAAAGATTGAAGAGAGGATCTCATCTCCATCAAATCAATAATCTTCCTCTCTACGCCACATCATTTCCCTTAACTCCGTTTCTCCCTATGCCACTTTCACCACATTATACAAAGCTATCAATCGACGATAACTATTTCCTCTATCGACCATGATTCTCCGTTAAAATTAAAAAAGTGAATCGTTCACGATGTGGCTATTTTATTCCATCAGTAAAATAAAATTAAGTAATATAAATAAATGATTTCAAATAAATCAAATATAAAATAATTCAAATTCATAAATTATAAATTATAAAAACCCGATTAAAAAACTAAGTTTGAATATTTAAATGATTTGAACATAAAATAATGTAAATATGAAATATTCGAGCCTAAATTCACCCAAACTTAAATTCATCCGGTTTGATGTGATTGAGAGTAGATTACGGGACGAGAAACGACTGTAGAGAATCAAAGCCAAGTTGATGGTTGCTTCTTGCTTTTTCCTATATAAACCCCCCCATTGATCCTCCCAAAAATCCTCACCAGTTCTCTCTGGTTATATCCATTTCTCTCTAGAAATCTCCGCCTACAATCCATTTGATCTTTCGTGTTCCCTTCCGAGATCTGGCTAACACTCAGGATAAAGCTGTGGAGGAAACCAACAAGAACCAAGCGGTGGTTCTTGCCCTCTATGAGGCCTTAAACACTCGAGACGTAAACACCGTTCACAAAATCCTCGCCGCCGAACTCGAATGGTGGTTCCACGGTCCCACTACTCACCAGTTTTTGATGCCCCTTCTCACCGGAGCTTCATCAGACGACTCTTTCCGATTCGAGTTTGATCCCCTTTCACTCACCACCTTCGGATCCACCGTCATCGTCGAAGGCTGCGATCACAGCCGTTCAATCTCCTGGGTTCACGCCTGGACCGTAACGGATGGGATAATCACCCAAGTGAGGGAGTATCTGAACACTTCTCTCACCGTTACCAGACTCGGAAACTCTAGTCAATCTCCGCCGTCCGACTACAACAATCCACCGTCGACGGCTGAGATTACCTCGGTGCATTGCACTTCCGTCTGGGAGAGCAGCTTTTCCAACAGGGTTGGAAAGTCCGTGCCGGGTCTTGTCCTGGCAATTTAGTCATTTCACTATCTTCCTCTCTGATCAGGTGCAGCCGTGAGTAGGATAATATAATATAAATAAGAACGAGGAGTGCTCTCGTGTCAGCTCCTCATTGGTCTTGTACTTACGACAGAGAGATCAGAGATGTGAGTTCCTTGGTAGGGTTGGGACCCTTTTATTTCCACTTCAGTTTGCTGTAGGGTCTGTTTCATTTGGTGTGTTTGCGTTTTCTATCCAATGTATTTACCAGTGTGGTCCTCCTATAATGTAATGTGTTTTCATTGTGTAATAAAATTATTGTATTTTAAAAAAAATATCTTGAATTCGACTATCATGAATGAAAGTTAACTCGATTTCATCATCGATATAATTAAAATCAAGAGTCAAAAGCCATTGAATTTTCATTAAAAACATAAATTGAATTATAAAATTCTTTGAGGGACCTAATAGTAATATTACCATTAAATAACATAAATTATCTACTTTTAAGTGATATTATATATGAGATTATATGAAACGATGATAAGAGCATATTGCTTCTTTTCTTTTTCTTTTTATTAAAGATAATATCATATTGGAATCAATGTATATGGGATATATTAAGAATATAAGTAGATCTAATATTTTATTATTATTATTATTATATTATTATTATTATTATTATTATTATTATTATTATTATTATGATTGCCCTCTTGATTCTTTAGAATTTTGTCCTGATTAATTCAGATGGATCTGTGTCGCATATATGATTTTGGTGGCGAGTCTCTCGATGAGAATTTTCTTTATATATAAGACATTGAACTCGAAACATATTTAAATGAAATCAAATTATTTATCACTTGAACTAATTTAGTTATTATTTTATTATTTATTAACATAATAAATAAAATTTAAATCCAAAATTTTAAGTTTATATTTTCAAATATACGTATTTGTTACACAATTAAGTTACCAACCAACAATTTGTCTAGTGAGATAAGACACTAGATCCTTTAAGTAAGGTCAGGAGTTCGAATCTTGGCGTTTGAGAATTGAGCAAACTGGGTTGGAAGGGTTGCCTTCGCCTCTGTAGTAACCGATCTGGATTAATTCAAGAAAAATATAATCTTCAAGTGTAAATTGATAATTTAGTCCCTTTAAATTACAATGTTTTAAATTATTACAATAAAATTTCATCTAAATGATATATAATTTTCATGTAAATGAGAAATTTTCATGTTTAGTCCATTGAATTTTCAAGATTTAATTAAGTCCTATTAAAAGATATATAATTTAAGAGTTATCCCCCCTTCAAAATGATACATTTTAATTAAGTCCTATATAATTTTAGATTCAAAATGGTAAAATTATCTTTCAGTTTTCTAAAAAAAAATTGTGGTTTCACCCATAAAAAAATGTTAAAGAAATGTGTTTGTAGTCGTAACTGTTGTTGTCGTTGTTGTTATTTGAAAAAGGGGTTTAATTTGTTGTTATTTCCAGTTGATGGCAACATGGATAAGGTTCAAAGAATAATACCCACAACTTGTGAAGCCCTTGTGGTTTATTCTTGACCTTTTGAGGGCCATATATATTGTATTTAATTCAAAGATAAGAACAATGGAAAATGATTACTTAATAGGAAAAATTCAATCATCTGAACCTATTCTTATTGATAGTTGGAAATATTCTTTGAAACGTTGCGTCAAATTTCACATGTTTATAACATATACATTATCAAATATATATATACATATATATTTGCACAAGATATGGGGAATAATGTTTCCCCAAGCATATAGTGACATATGGAGACGATTTTGGTGGCAGAGGACGAAATTGAAGGAGAATGAAAATAATATGGACCAAATTTAGAAGAAAAAATAGGATCGAAATGGAAAATTTTATAAATTTTGTTCAAGAAGAAAAAAAACGCACACATTACATATTAGCACGAGCACGAGTTGAGTTGAGCGACAATGACATATGAATAAATTTGTCTTTAACCACTTAACAAATGTATATTTAAAAGATTGTATTTAAATACTTGAAAAATAAAACAATAACAAAATAATGTAAGATTTATTTCTTTACATTATCAATTCTTATATTGTTTAGATATTAGGTTTTTCAAACATATAAATATAATCTTTTAAACATACAGTAATTGAATGATTGAAGATAAAACTTACACATGTGTGTTGTCATTGATGTTAGATTAGGGCTTGTGCTAACACGTAATGTACATGTTTCTTTTTCCTTTTTAACAACATTTGTATGGTTTTTCATTTCACTCCTGTTTTTTTTTTTCTCTTTTTATATCAACACACAACGATTTAAAATTCCTACGTATTTGTTTTTATCCATTTAAATTCCAGACCCTAAAAGAGGGGACTGTGTTGTTTTTTTAATCTAAATGATCTTACGTCACATTTAGACAACTATCAATTGGACAAGTTAATCTGTCATTGACTTTTGTTTTTCATGTTTTTACACATAGTTAATTCTTTAAAACCTCTTCGTTAGTTATTGTTTTATATCTACACGTAAAGTGATTAAACAAATTTCTACGTTTTGATTATTTTACAAGTCATGAGTTTGTTTCTAGGGACAGACGTACGATCTTATGTTAGAGAGTGGATTTATAAAAATAGATTGTTAATAGAAAATATACATAGAAAATATGAAAATTTCAAAAGAGGTGACTGTCTCCACCTGCCCTTTTAATATATTTCTGATTGTTACGTCGTTTTCTTACGCTTACTAGACAATTAAAGGCTAAGACAACAACTAATGTGAGAAATAAAACCAAATAATATGTTCAAATGTGGATTGAGTGTTTGAATGCCTCAAACATCAAATGTATTAACGTATGGACAAAGATATTTTTGAAAACTTTTCTTTTATTTTCTTTTCATCACTTTTGGAATTAGTTCATTTGTTGTCTTCCAAACTTGGTGGTTGGGTTGTGATCTTGTGGATTCAAATGTCAACTCTGAAACTTTGATCCGATTCACGATATTTGTTTTCGATTCAATTTAATTTGATCATAAAAATTCGATTATTTTAGTTAAGTTTGAATTGATTTGAATTTAAATTGATTCAAAACGATTTCGGTTCAAAATAATTTAAATTTAAACTGAAAATGAAACAACAAACAATATTAAAATAATTATTTGGACCTCAAATGATTTGAACATGTAATGACTCGAACTCAAAATAACACATATTTAGAATGAATCTAATTAGGAATTATCCAAATTTAAAACTCACACAAACCAAAGTGATAAAAAAATATTTTTATTGTACTCGTACAAATATGTTGATTGTAATTATGGATGTAAATTATTTTCTAAAAGATATAGTTTGGAAAAAATGAATGAAAATTTTAAGATTTAAATTTGATTCATATTTTATATTAATATAGTCGAGACATGCTCATGGGTCGAACTAAGTCTTTTATATTGGGCTTTTGTATGCAATTAATTATTTTTAAATTTCAAATACGATTGTATTTTTTAAAATTTTAAATTTCCACGTAGTTATATTTTTTTCTATTAGTAATCTAGTTTTACATCATTTAACTTTTTACATAACTTTCTAAAAGTTTATATTATTAACATAAAATCATATCTCTATCCCGTAAAAAAATTATACATTTTCGTTTTCGTGCGTAATAACCAGCAAAGCTACAATGAAGGCATAATCCACCTCTGGATAAACTTTTATTTTGAAACTCTCTTTGCCCTTGTAGCTTTCCCATGTGTAGCTGTGGCTAACCTGTATTTTAATTCGCAATAAGCAATACTGATTCAGATAATCGATTCGAATTTTTTAATTCTGAATTCATATACTTGAATTAGAAAATTAGAAACCAAAGCAAAGGCATCAATTTTATACCTCAGCAATGACTGAAATCCCTCTCCGAACCTTGATCGAAAGAGAAGCAATACTCCCGGTCACGCGGAAATCGCCGGTGCCTTTCTTGCACCGGCTTCCTAAGTAGACGTCGAGGTTGCTTTTGATATGAAAACCACTCGATTTCTTCACACTGAAGAGAATATTGTTCGAATCCGAGTTTCCGCCTTCATGAATTTGCCATTCCTGTTTCCACGATATTGGTTGCTGCAATTTTCCAGTACCCTATGACATCATTATCCATCAACTAGACACACAAAAAATGTTGTTCATGTAACCGTGACGTGTTTGAGATTTTCGAGTGTTACGAACCTTTTCGCGGAGAGTGACGACGGGGAAGCCTGCGGGATCCGTCACGACCCTTCGCCGCTGCAAGTTCCAGACACTGCAGTCGACTCGAAGCAGAATGTTTCCGGTGGTGTCGAAGACATCGTAGTGCGAATTCGAAAACGATTGCAATTTCTTCTTCACGACAAGCTCCATCGTGTATGGGACACAGTATCTGTCCCCAACAACCTTAATCATCTCATCGCCGGTTGCCATGTTTCTGAATCTGTTTACAAATTCTTTGCTGGAAATTTAATATTGAAATTTCCTGGAAAATGAATCTCTTCCAGTGTGGGAAACATGGTGCTATACAAGTCTAGTTCTATGAACCTAATTTTCAACAAAATCACGTCGCATTATAAATACGATTAATACGACGCTCGAATATCTATAAAATCATTTCCTTTCATGAACTTGACATCTTTAAACGTGAAAAACAAGTATTTTGAAAATTAAAAAACATACCTGCAAATGTTCATTTTTTTAAACCGACAACTTGACAATCACTTTATGTGCGTACAGATATGCATATAAAGTCGATATAAAAACATACCTTCAAAAACATACCTTCAGATCATTTCGAGTTTAGATTATCATCAAATGAAGTTGAAAAAGACCGATGAGAATGGGGAAGATAAAAATTGGAGAGTTTTAAAGGAATAAACTTGTTAATTTGTTTGTGATTTTTGATGAATTGTTAGAGTTAACACACCAATAATCTAGGGATGGTGGAGATTTTTTTTTGATGAAAATTAGACCGAAACAAATTCATGGATGAGAGAGAGGACTAAACAATTGTATTTTGGAAAAGTGTAAAAATATATATTTTCTTAAATAAGTAGTTTTTTTTTTTAAAAGACTATTTTTATTATTATTTTGATCATTAACATTTATAAAGTTTCATTTCAATCACTTATATTATCAATTTATTATAAATTAACCACGAATAATTATTTATGGTTATTCTAATAACAAACCGCTAACTTGATAAGACAAATAATAAAATAAGCTATGTTTGTTATTAATAACAATATGTGAAATTGTGTGTTAATAACACTAAGGAAGATTGAATATTGTAATGCTATAAAAAAATTGTATGTCAATTCATGTTTTCTTAAAAAAAAATTGCATGAGACCTACTAATACAATTTATTTAGGTTAGTGACGGAGCTTAACTCCCGATTTTTGAAATAATTATTTTTTAAAAGAAAAATACATTATAAAATGTGTATATATAGCGTAAATTTCGATTATTATTTCTTTCATGAAGTTTCTTTAACAGAATAGCCTCTTAAGAGGCTGAATAAATCAATACGAATTTAGTAGAAAAAAGTTAAAATTATCTAAATATTATGCAAGATTGTTGATTTTTTTTTTTTCAATTTTCCATCAATTAACATAATATAACAACATAAAAATTTGATTTTTCTTTAATGAAATTTTTATTTTTATTTAAAAATACTATAAAAATAAGAGGAGAGCCAATAATACCATAGTTTGAGAAATAGTGGGAAAAAACAATATTGAAATAGAAAGAATCTTAGAAAAAAAATTAACTTATAGGACAAGCTTAAAAAAAAAGTTAAATTCATGTATATGTTACCAAATTTGTTAACAACCATATCAATACTTACGTCAAATATTAATGATATGTAATTTAATTAACATCATTTAGATATTTAAATAATTTGATTGATAAAATTAAACTATTAATGATTAAATTGAAAATATTAATAATATGTAATTTAATTAACATCATTTAGATATTTAATTTATCCTAAATTTTATGATTAGATAAATTTAATTATATGTTTTTTATGGTAGGTCTTGTTTATCTAGTTTTGAATGAATTTGGTTCGAAATGATAAAATAATCAAATTTTTTTTAGGATTGGATGAGTAACACGCTAAGAATCTGTCTATACCTTAACACTTTTCAAAGATATTAATTATTTACTTATTGAAAAAAAATAAGTGTTTAAATTACACTTAAATTAACTTTAAATATTTAAAGAATTTTTTTGTTAAAAATAGGCGTCTAATATTTTCGACGTTACACTTTTAGGTACCTGCTGTTAAATTTGATCGTTAAGTGACGCGTTTCAGGTATATAAAAGTTTTGAAAATTTTATTTAATTTTTTTGAAAATTTATTTGCATGACACGTGTCACTTAACAGTAGTCTTGACACCTAAAAGTATAACGTTGGAGACGTTATACACCTATTTTTAATAAAAATTTATTTAAGTATCTAAAGTTAATTTTAAGAGTAATTTGAGCATTTATTTTACATGAAGCCTTAATTATTTTACCAGTAAACTTTAAATTATTTTTATAAACCAGTAGGTTTAGTGAGAAAATATATTAGATTTCTTAAATAAAATTAAGAGTCTGAATTCTAATATTTGCCCGTGAAGTAAATTGGATTGAGAGAGTTTCCCATAATATGTCTCTATAAAATCTGATATAGTTTAGTCAATTAATAAATTAAAAAATTGATGTTTTAAAAAAAAATCTAAAATGTGAAAAAAATCTAATTGCTTTTGCTTTGGGACATGTCTCATTAAAACAGTCACCATGAAAATAAGATCAGATAAGGGAAAAGAAAGCACAAAAACAAAGTACTAAAAATAGTAAACCCATTTCTTCCAATTCTCTGCTTCTAATTCGTTGATTTTTTTTGGTTCTAAAAACTAGGAGTATAACTCTGGGTTTCAAAAATCTAAAATGTGAAAAAAATCTAATTGCTTTTGCTTTGGGACATGTCTCATTAAAACAGTCACCATGAAATAAGATCAGATAAGGGAAAAGAAAGCACAAAAACAAAGTACTAAAAATAGTAAACCCATTTCTTCCAATTCTCTGCTTCTAATTCGTTGATTTTTTTTGGTTCTAAAAACTAGGAGTATAACTCTGGGTTTCAAAAACTGTTTGTTTTATGGGGAAATCAATTGTTTGCACGACGAAAGGCCAAGACTTTGCAAAAGCAGTCCCATCAGACAAACTCCACGGGCCAAAACACGTCAAACCCATATCCAGAAACAGAGTTTCTTGCCGCGAAAAGGCGAGGCCGAGTGGCGTCCGTCTCAACTCAGAGCGAGTCAATCAGAAGGCAATGGATAATAATAATAATACCTGGGGTGACCAGGACCGGGTTCCGCTGGCTCAGGTGGTTTCCGAGTTGGTAAAAGGATGGTTCCAAGACACTCTTAAGGAGGCCAAGGCCGGTGATACCAACATGCAAATCCTTGTTGGACAGATGTATTGCAATGGCTATGGTGTTCCTAAAGATGTTCAACAGGTCCCTCTCTTTCTCTCTTTAGTTTTCCATATTCAATTTGATTCACGGAGTTATATATTCTTGAAAAAAAGGCCTAATTTGATTCATTTTGTTGCTTTTCATGTTCTTTGTGTTCTTGCAACTTTTCTTGCGATGTAGTAAATAGTATTCCAAATGCCTAGGAAATCTGGGAATTGGTTCTCAAATTAGTATTTCTTTTATTGAGAAAAATGTTGCATTAATTGGAATCTTGATTGATTGCTTTTTATATGGAAAATTCTTGCATTTCTCTGCAAGAGAAGGTGCTTTCATGTCACTGAACTTGTTCCTATATTGGTGCTTGATGACACCTGAAAGTTTCATTCATGGTGTGCTTGTTAACTCGGAATCATGTTGGTATTAGCTAATCGATTCTTCTGAAATTAGGGGCATGCTTGGATCGGTAAAGCTTCAAGGAGCAGATCTTCCGTATGGAAAGTTAGTGATAAGCGTCCAGGTACTCTCCCTGGCTCCCTCTCTGCTAAACTACGGTCGATAACTGCTTTCTTGGATGATCATTCTTACGGTTTCCTTCAGGTTACAACGCCAGTGACTCAGACTCTGATGAACCGAGGGGTGATGCACAATGAGCTTGAACTTGTATTCCTTTTAAAATTGTCAGCAAATACGTAAGTTGTATTCAATTGTTGGTTCTCCATTTCTTGTTACTTGAAAGAATCAAATAAACAGAAATTTTCCTCATTATCTTGATTTTGGCTATCTCTCTATCATTGTGCCTCACTTGATTATGTTTCGGTTATTCGAGATATATGAATAAAGCGCTGGTCTCTTCTATTGGCGAAACTTGCATATAAGTGTAGACTTCTTTTTGATGTATATCGGTCTATGATAGTTGATTGATTGTTTATATGCTCCGTTATCTCTTCGTTAGGATTTATGCGGATTCCGGTTGGTACTGCTCAAATTTAGTGTCATATTGATGCAAAAGAGTATAAGATTTGTAATAATCAAATTCATAATAAATTAGAACACTCTGTATATCATTTGAACAGTTATTACAATTCACAACAACTTAATTAGGGCAATCCTTTGTTTCTTTATGCTGGTTTAGATGGTCACTTCTATCTGGAACAGCGTCAGTTGCCTTGTCTTTTGTTCTTTCTCCATTCCCATGGCTTCTCAGGATTTGTTGAAGCCCATAAACCGACTCTTTTTGCTCGAGCCTCTTGTTCCCACTAGTTTTATTCAATCACATGATGTTCAGAATTGGCAGAAAAAAGTTTTAGCAGAAAGGAATGGTGTAACGATCAGGTTTCAAGATGTCTCTACCGAGCATCAGTTAGAATTTTAGCCATCAATGTATTGTCTTCTTTGGGCACCTATAGGTACCAAAAGAAAACAATACCTTTGATGAGCAAACCTAGTGGTGACAGCCGAAATTCGATGCGTAAGGTGATGCGGAAAAGACATCCTGAAACCAAGATTGTTATGGTTGGTTACTCACAGTTTCGAGCTCTACACGGTTGTCGTAAGCCGAGTAATGCCATGCAAGCCCCTTTTTCAGCAGTACTTCCTGTTCAAGATGGAGATTGTTAGAGAAATCTGCTCTTATGAGGTAAACCAGGAGATGAAAGTGTTACATTCGAAGATAAATACCTGAACAAATTTGCCATTGCAGTATATATCACCAACACATCGGCCATATCGATCTTCGTCGTAGACAACAACCCTTAAACATTTCCCTTGAATAAGCTTCACCAGCTCTGCTTTTGCTTCTTTGCCGTATGGCATCGAACTCTCCGGCGCATCGATACCCCTGTTTCATTGCACTGTCATGATATTTAGCTGATGAAACATCGACATTTCACGAAGGAACTAATGTTACCTTAACCGGATCCGATACTTTCTAGCGAGGATCTCCTGATTCTGAAGATTTAAGAATCTGTAATTGTTAAGAAGATAAACTGTATTAGTAACCATCAGTTTTAAGAGATAATATAGGAAACTCGAATGATTTAAATTGTTGAACCTGTATCCCGAATTAGTAATTTTCTTGTGAAGTTCATTGGCTTTTGTATGGTTCTTGGCAGCACACGCTTTCGATCTTTGATCGGCAGCCAATCGGACTTCTCGAGGTAAGTTAGCTGACTCTCTAGGATCTGTAGTACTTACATAAACTGTTATGGTATCTCCATCTGGTACTGCTTTCAGATCCACCTAATTATTTCAACTCCATTATCCATGTCAATACTTATGTTCGACTCATATTCATTCACGTTTCAAGCATAAATCTGTACCCGAATCTGAAGTTTCGAGAAAGATGGTCCATACCGGTAAAGTCTGCAATTCGAACTTGACTGCTTGAGACGATGATGTTGGGCCGCTAGCAGAAGGCTGCTGAGGAAGTCCATAGTATGCCAACAATCCCTGAAAACATTAAAAACAAACTTGTCATAATCTGAATCAAATGATGTAAGATTTAATGGTGGTTTCTGCAACTTTGCACCTCAACATCTGCCTTTTGGTGTCTCTTCAACGTCTGAACGACAAACCTTGAAGCTTCCTCCGGCGTTTTCGGCGGCGGTTTGGCTTCTCTCCAAGCATCTAATAGCTTTCTATACCTTCATCATCAGTTGTCATATTTCAGACAAAACAAAAAACTAAGTACAAACATATCATTATTGTCGGAGAATTGTTCATAATTAAATTACCAGTTGGCCTGAGCTTTCTTGGACGAAACCACATGATTACTTAGCCCTTCAGGAACCTAAAACAAATTTGGAAACACAATCTTAACGAAAATCAAAGCAAAACCAGATTCGTTCTTTAGCTTTATTGAAGGAACAAAGATTGAAAAGTTGAAGAAAGATTACCTGAGAGGTGGTATCGAATTGGAATAGATCATGGGAGAGAGCTGAAACACCGTCGTCGGAGGTTGGGACACCGTGGGAGCCTCCAGCTGTGGTGGGCTTGCAGCAACGGCTATACAAAAATCTCAGAGCATTCCCCATAGAAAAAATCTGATCTTTTTTTTTCTTCCGAAGTTGCAGAGATTTATGAAAGGAGAGAGCCTTGAGAAACAAAAAAACGAATGAAGAATTACAGAGGGACACGTGGTTAGGTTTGATTGGTGGATAATGATTAACAGTTTAGATCTGTAAACTGTACGCTGTTAAAGTTCCAAGTCAACGGTTTCCTTTTTTCGTATATTGTAAGAAACGTTTGCGTGTGTGAGATTGCTCGGAGGAATTCCCGGTCTGGGGGCCGGTTGTGTTTCATGTGTATTTTATTTCTAAAAAGAAAAACATTTGGGTTAATATGTTATGTGGGTTTTTATATTAATATAAAATTATTTTTTATATGTTATGTTTTAAATAAAATTATAAAAATATTTTGAAAACATTCATGAAGTCTACACATACCGCCATATATTAACTACGTCGAAAATTTAATGTTTTTAAAAATAATTTTATTTTAAAAAATAAAAAATTAATTATTTTGAAAAAAATGCAAGATTAATTTTACGATTTTTTAAAAAATTGATGGTGAACTTTAAATAAAAAATAAATACCAAAATGAAAAAATGTAATTGTGGACTTAAATTTATCATTATATCTAAAAATTATATAAAACAATTGATAAATATTTTTTATTGACGAATAAATAATCTCTTATATATTTTATCTTTTTCAAAGCTTTTTTTTATTGAATCAAATTATTTCTAATATTTTTTATCAAATGCATCAAAAGAAATATAATGATACACCTTAAGAATGAGTTCAAATTCCGTCAACAATAAAATATTTAATTTTATTTATTAGGATTAATTGTGATTATCGGTAAGAGATTACTAGAAACCATCTATAACATATTGATAAAATTGTGTAAACATATTTTAATTATTTTACAAAATAGTATTCATTTAAAAAACATCTATCAACCGTACTTTATAGACTCTAAAAAATAAAAACAATATCAACAATGTTTAAACCTGATATTAACATTAATCATAGATAATTAGGAAAAATTACTATAATCGAAAATTCTATAAATTATGCATTATGGAAATTTTATAGAAAAGATAATTTTGTTAGAATAATACCTTTTTCAGCAAGTATTGCGCACGTTGTTTCTTTTTGAATGAAACTCGTACAGATTTTAGTCCATCGTTTTTTATTTTTTTCATTTTGACTTTGGGCGACATCAACGTAGAAAAGACCGTCTGAATGATCTGTTACGTAGATAAAGACACTCCCTCTAAAACGCGCTTTTTGAAGAGCGTTTTCACGTTGGTGTGTCTTTATTAAAAAGATGCCCGTTAATAATATTATTTGGGTTCCATTCGAGAAAAAAAGAAAAGAAAAGAAAAGGTATGGCTCTAATGCGCAAAACATATATATATATATATATATATATTTCCTTGGCCAAATTAGGGTGCCCAAAAATGTAAAAATGAGAATAACGAGAAAGAAATAGCTAAAATGTAGTAGTTAAAAACAGCTGGTGAGTGCCTAATGAGAAATCGTAAGCTCCATTAATCTCAAAGGATACTCTCCGTATTCTTCGTCTTCCTCTAATGTTTTCATCCACCCTCTTCCTCCATTGTATCAGAGTATAAACAATAAAGCTTTTGTGAAATGATCGTTGAGGCAAACCCCAATGGCTGATTCATCTGCTGACCATGATTTGGATCCCAGATACCGGATCGACGGATCATGTTGGAAATTCATTCCGGTCATCTCCGACGGATTCTTCAACGAGAAAGAAGGTGAAAGCATTTTCAAACATCAGCTCATTCTTCTGCAACTGCAGTTGGCTCTCATCTTCATCCTTGCCACCACCATTCACCTCTGTCTAAGGCACTTCTATTTGCCTCGTCTCATCTCAGAAGTCCTGGTATTCCCCTTTGTTCCTTGCACATATCACATAGATTGTTCGTATAATATCCGTTTATTAAACTAAATAAATGAGTATGAACAAAATTTTATGTTCATTTAATAAACTAACAAATACAAACGAAAATGTGTTCGGTATATTCACAAACATACCCGTTTATTGGTTCTTTATCAAATTGTTTATAAGTTTGTTTACTTTTTCATTTCCTTTTTATTTTTTATATTTTAAATATTAGTGAAGATAATGAGTACATTGAACATAAAATAAATTTTTTTGAGTTTAAACTATGAAATCTAAGGTACTTAAGGACTAATGGCATAATTTCATTATTTGTTTTGACTCATAAATAAAATGGTAAAAAGTGTTTGTTGTCAACATAAACAAATATACTCGCAAACGTTGAATGAATATGTTTGTGAACATTAAATAAATATGTTCGGGAACGTTAAACGAACGAATACGAACACTTTTAAAAAATAAATAAATAAACATGAACATGATAATGAAAATTTAACGAATTGAACATGAACACTTTAAAAAATAAACCAACAAACACGAAAAAAGTTATGTTGTTCAAGTTTGATTGATTTACACCCTTAATATCACATATGTAGCATGTTTTTACGTCGTTTTGTTTTGTCCCAAAAGGACCAAACTGAAGGATGTTTCATGTTTGAATGTTGTGCAAATGGCAGTCAGGTGTGATTCTCGGTCCGACGATACTCGGCCGGTACCTTCCGGATGTTTCGGCCACCTTGTTCTCCCGACATGCGGTGAAAGTCCTGTCGACGTTGACACGGTTCGGGTACTTGTTTTTCATGTTCTTGATCGGTGTGAAGATGGATGTGAACCTTGTAAGGAAATCTGGTAGAAGGGAATGGACTATAGGCTCCATTGTTATCATCTTCCCCATTCTGTTCATTGTTTCCGCTGCCCAAACCATTAGCTTAAAGGTGGACAAGGTCGAAGAAGATGCCCAGCAATGGGTTTCTCTTTTCGCAGGCTTGTTCATGTTAACTTCATTTCCAGTGGTGGCCATTCTCCTAATGCATCTCAAGATCATCAACTCCGAGTTGGGAAACCTTACTCTGTCATCAGCGTTGATTAGTGACTTAATAAGTGTAGTGATTGTCAATTTGGATAAAATGGACAAGCTAAGTAAATTGGCGTCGGACCGTGTCGCTCTCAAGTCGACGTTCCTCGTTATCGTCCTCATCATGTTTGTCGTGATGATTTTACGAGGGATGATATACTGGATCATCCGACGAACACCGGAAGGGAAGCCGGTCAAAGATGCTTACCTCTTCTTTGTTATTATAGCGTTACTAGTTGTTGCAGTTGCTGGTGAAAATGCTGGACTTCAATACATGTATGGTCCATTTATACTAGGCTTGACAGTGCCAACAGGGCATCCCTTGGCTTCAACACTGATAGAGAAACTAGACACCATTGTAGCAGGTTGGATGCTTCCACTTATGTCGACTTATTGCGGATTCAGATCGGATTTGTGGGTACTCAAAAGACGACCGCCTGCTTGGATAGTTTTTACGGTTACTTTCGGAGTTTTGTTTAAGATGGCATGTGGGTTCATCTCTGCAATTTGTTTGAAAGTGCCTCTGAAGGATGCCACTGCAATGGCACTGATGTTAACATCCAAAGGCATAATAGAATTAGGTTGTTTTGCCACGAATGTAGACAAGACGGTACTCGATCCAGAATCTCTTCGAATCACTTTTTTAATCTGTCCTTTTACTTGGTCATAAGCCAAGGCTGTTTTGTTTATATCTCTCTTTGTTGCCCTTAATTTCAGGATATTGACCCTCAAGAATTCTCCTGGGCCGTATTGTCTGTATCGTTTTACGCAGCACTTGTGCCAATAGTTACCAGAAAGCTTTATGATCCATCAAAGACATACAGAGGTTACCAGAAACGAACCGTCTTGAACTCGTCTCTAAACGAGGGTGTCCGAGTGCTGGCCTGTGCACATAGGAAAGATGATGCATTGTCTGCAATCAAGCTACTTCAACTTACAAATCCATTCATAGGGACTCCCCTGTCGGTTTTCGGGCTTTACTTGGAAGAACTGGTCGGTGGATCGAGTCCACTCCTCCTTAATCACCAATTAGGCCAAAAGAGTTGTTCCGAAGGTGGTCACTGGCAACCGATCATCGACGTTTTCAATCACTTTAAGAACCAATGCAGTAAACCAACACAAGTTCAAGTTTACACAGCAATATCACCTCAATCACTAATGCATGAAGACGTTTGCTGGGTTTCCTTTCAAAATTCAGTAGCATTAATAATACTTCCATTCCATAGGAAAAGGAACAGGAAAGGGAAGATAATAGCTGATTCCAAAGAATTGAGGGCCTTCAACATTAGAGTAATGAACAAGGCACCTTGTTCAGTAGGCATTCTAGTAGATCGTGACCGATCCCGTTGGTTACCAATGGCGGACAAATCATCCACGTATCGTGTATGCGTGCTTTACTTGGGAGGCAAGGATGACCGAGAGGCTCTTGCCATCGGACGAAGGATGAAAGGATGGCCTTCGGTTTACCTAACCGTCATTCGGTGCAAAGAGGACGATGCTCAACAGGGATGGGAAGCTATGTTAGATGAGGAGTGCTTGAGAGATATAAAACACCAAAGCAGGGAGAACAACAATGTTTTCTACAAGGAAGAGATAGCAAGACATGGGGCAGACACATCATTGATTGTTGGTTCCCTGTTGGACGAAAACTATGATCTTATCTTAGTGGGACGACACTCGGACTCTTCCTCGCCGCTCGTGGAAGGCTTATCGGCATGGGTAGATTTGCCAGAGCTCGGGGCCATCGGAGATATGCTAGCTTCTTCAGAGATCAGTAAAACAGTTTCTGTGTTTGTGGTGCAACAACAGGTGCTTGGAAATTGAGTGAAACATCACTCTTTTCCGTGAGAGAATTGAAGGGCTGGATGCATTCTTTCATGCAAAGATCAATATTGCTTTAAATGGGCAAGTGATCCAAAGAGACCAAGAACATGCCATTGGATTCAGATAAACACCAACATTATCGTACGTTATGCATATGTACCCTAGTAATTGATATCTAAACTTTAGGATATTAATTTTTTTGCATATACGTGTAAGAATTGTGGTAGTAAAGTATATTATCTTAAATCCAGATGAAGAACGATACAAGATATTTTCTTTATATTTTTCACCTGATGATCTAATTTTATATCTAAATTTGTAATTTCATACCTCTTGAGTTTCTAATATAACTTTCTATAATTTTAAAAATATTTTTTAGAATTTACTATTATTTTTTTGCATTTTAAACCTATAATTTTAAGGTATTGATCGTGAGTTAACAAATAATTTTCGTGCCGTTTCTTTTAGACAAAAAAGAGATATGCACCAAGATAATCTTCTCCAGTCCTATTTCTTCGTCTCGGCCTTGAAACGTTTAGGCCATAGCATTTGTTGAGCTACTGATGATAACTTGTGGATACCCTTCAAATTTGCTTACAATGGATCCCTTATCACACATTTTCTTTGCGATCATATTCTACATGATAAGTCATATGTGTTTAAAGTGATAGTGTATTACATGTTACATGTACATAAGTGATGAAGCGACTTAATTTTAGTTATCATATTATTATTTTTTTACATAAATGATCATTTATGTTATAACTTTTTTTCTTAGTCGCCTAAAATTAATTTTAGTTATCAATTAAACGAAAACGACGATGTGACATGATATTAAAATTATTTTAGTCTTTAAAATTTATATATTTTATTTAAATTTAATCATAATTTAAAATAATTCTTTAAATATTTGAGTTAAACTCCGATTTTTCATCCTTTCCCCTCCTTTTTGTTTTCTCTTATATCGACTTATTACTCTACTTTCTCTAGGTTTTATTGAATACGATACAATGAAAAAACCTACTCGAACATGTCTTAAATTAAATGAGTTGTTTTAAATTAAAATTATCATTTTGTTTATTATTATAGGACATGCAAATAATGATTAATTTGATATTTATGTACATATTTTAAATTAATTTATTATTCTTAAAGGTTTTAGGTTCGAGCACCAGACTATAAGAGTGTTTGAATTTTTATTGTTAAATGATTAAAAAATTTTAGAGTAAATGTTATCTTATAATCACTTTAAATTAATCAAAAAATAATTTTAATAAAAATATTTACTAATGTCGTTAACCTAGGTACCATAATGATAAACGAAAAAATAATTCAGGTACTATAATATACATATTGACAGAATATAGATACCCTATTGAATAATTTTTAAAAAACTAAATACCAAATGTGATGTTATCGCTAGGGATGCCCATGAGACCCAAATTTGATGAGTTTCGATTTGATCTGACTCTATTGAGTTGATTTTTTTATATTAAAAATAGGTTTTTCGATTATGAGTTTGGGTCGAGTCAGATTCGAATTTAAGGTGAAAAATACCTGACATGACCAAAAATTAATGTAATCAGACCTTATATATATTTAGGGATAATTTTAATAATACACCTCTATATATTATTATTTTTTCAATTAGATTTTTAGTTTTATCAAATAAAATTTAAAATCTTTTATATATATATAAATATATATATAAATATGTGTGTCAGGTTAGATGTAGTTGAGTTTGAGTTTTATCTCAAAGACATGTCGAGTTTCGGGTAAGATAAAATCGTCGTAAATCCAGATCGAGTCATATTTCAAATAAAAAATATAATTTTTATCAAGTAAGATTAAGTTGACTGAAAATTCGATCAAACTCAACCATTCTCATCCCTAATTATCACAATGGGTTTCCATATAGATAATAATAATAATAATAATAGAAACAAAACAGTTGGTCAGTGCAAAATGAAAAATCGTAAGCTCCATTAATCCCAAAGGGCACTCGCCGTATTCTTCGTATTCTTCCAAATATTTCCATCCAATTCTCTCCAAATTTAACTCCTCCATTGTTTTCCAAAACAAAAAGGGTTAATGATTATCAATTCAGAAGCAAGAAACGAGCCATGGCTGATTCGTTTATCGATGAATTGGATCCTAAATACAAGGTCGATGGATCCTGCTGGAAAGTCATTCCAGTTACTTCCGAAGGATTGTTTAACCAGAAAGGTGATGACAATATTTTCAAACATCACCTCATCATTTTACAGCTCCAATTAGCTATTATTTTCATCCTCGCCACCGTCTTCCACCTCGTTCTCCGGCGATTATATTTGCCTCGTCTTACGTCCGAAGTTCTGGTAACAACAATGGGGTTTGACTCTTGTTTGTTTTTTTTCCCTGACGTAAAACATGTTTGGAATTTAGTGTTAATGATGTTGGAATGTTGTACAAATGGCAGGCAGGTATAATTCTCGGACCGTCGGTTCTCGGCCGGTTCTTTCCCAACATATCGTCGGTTTTGTTCCCCCGACAGTCGGTGAAAGTCCTCGCTACGATGACGCGGTTCGGATATTTGTTCTTCATGTTCTTGATCGGTGTCAAGATGGATGTGAACCTGATCAGGAAATCCGGGAAAAGGGAATGGACTATAGGCTCATTGGTGATCGTATTCCCCCTCTTACTCGGCGTCCACACCGCGAAAGAAATAAGCTTAAACGTCGACAAGATCGACGAAGTTTACCTGGAACGTGTCGCGCTTTTCACCGGCGTATTGATGTTGACACCGTTTCCGGTGGTGGCCATCCTTTTGATGCATCTCAAGATCATCAACTCCGAATTGGGACACCTCACTCTGTCATCGGCCTTGATTAGCGACTTAATAAGTGTAGTCATCGTGAATTTGGATAAATTCGTGCAGCTAACGAGATTGGCATCGCCCCATGTAGCGATGAAGTCGATTTTTCTCATCATCACGTTGATTCTGTTCATCGTAACGGTCTTACGACAAATGATATACTGGATCATCAGAAGAACTCCGGAAGGGAAGCCTGTCAAAGATTCTTACCTCTTCTTTGTGATTATAGCATTACTAGTTGTTGCAATAGTTGGTGAAAATACTGGACTTCAATACATGTATGGCCCTTTTATACTAGGCTTGACAGTGCCAACAGGGCATCCCTTAGCTTCAACTCTGATTGAGAAACTCGACACCATTGTATCGGGTTGGATGCTGCCGCTTATGTCGACTTATTGCGGATACAAATCGGATCTATGGGAACTCAACCGACAACCACCTTATTGGATCATCTTCGTATGCACTTTAGGTTTTTTGTTTAAGACCTCCTGTGGGTTCATTCCAGCAATTTGTTTCAAAGTTCCCTTAAAGGATGCCATTGCATTGTCACTGATGTTGAGTTCCAAAGGCATTACCGAATTAGGGACGTTCGCGACGACTGCGGACAAGCTGGTACTCGACCTCGGAATCCCTTTGAAGCATTTGTTCTTAACTAACCCTTTCTTTGCTCACAAGACAAGTCTGTTTTTCTTATATATCTCTTTGTTATTCTTGATTTCAGTCCGCTGTGCCTCAAGAATTCACCTGGGGCGTATTGATAGTGTTCTTTTTCGCATCACTTGTGCCGATACTTGCCAGATTGCTTCATGATCCATCAAAGACATACAGCGGTTACCAGAAACGAACCGTCTTGAACTCTTCTCTAAATGAGGGTGCTCGAATTCTTGCCTGCGCACATCGGCAAGACGATGCATTGTCTGCAATCAAGCTACTTCAGCTTTCAAATCCTACTGACGGGACTCCCTTATCGGTTTTCGGGCTTTACTTGGAAGAACTTGTTGGTGGATCGAGTCCTCTCCTCCTTAATCACCAATTAGGCCAAAAGAGTTCTTCCGATGGTGGCCGCTGGAAACCGATCATCGATGTTTTCAAATACTTCAAGTCCCAATGTACTAAGCCAACTCAAGTGCAAGTTTACACGGCGATATCGCCTCCCTCACTGATGCATGAAGACGTCTGTTGGGTTGCCTTTGACAATGCAGTAGAATTGATCACACTTCCATTCCATAGGAAATGGAACAGGAAAGGGAGCCTAATCTCGGATTCGAAAGAATTGAGGGCATTCAACACTAAAGTCATGAACAAGGCCCCTTGTTCTGTAGGCATCCTAATCGATCGTGACCAAGCTCGTACCTCATCGATCACTGATAATTCATGCACATACCATGTATGTGTGCTTTACTTGTGAGGCAAGGATGATAGAGAAGCTCTTTCCATTGCAAGAAGGATGAAAGGATGGCCTTCCGTTTACCTAACCATCGTACGGTTCAAAGAGGACGACAAGTCCAGCCACAAAGGATGGGAAGCTATGTTAGATGACGAATGCTTCAGAGAAATAAAACACCAAAGCAAGGAGAATGGGAATGTTTTGTACAAGGAAGAGATAGTAAGACATGGGGCAGATACATCCGTGCTTGTTGGGTCTGTATTGGATGCAAACTATGATCTCATCCTAGTCGGACGACACGCGAAATCCGAATCACCACTCCTTGAAGGTCTATCAGCATGGACTGATTTGCCGGAGCTCGGGCCAATCGGAGACATGCTAGCTTCAACAGGGATCTCTAAACCAGTCTCTGTCTTTGTGGTTCAACAACAGGTCATTGGAAAATGAGTGAAACTTTAGCTATTCAGTCACAGAATTGAAGGGCTGCTTACCCTCTTGCAGGTCCTAATGGGAAAGATCATTGCTTTAAATGGGGCAAGTGACCCCAAAGTGTATCCTCCTTTGATCAGTGTTATCCCAACAAGACCAAGAAAATGCCATTGGGTTCGGATTGCGAGATTAGCCTTGGTTTTTATGGGGGCTTCTTCATGTGCTAATGGTTATATTGGGGCGTTGTGATATTAGTTTCTGCAGAAAACTTGTAAGAGTTGTAGTAATGTATATTACCAATAGATTCAGAGGTCCTGTATTTATTCATAGTCACCATTTGCATGCCTTTGTATTAGTAATTTGTAAGGGTCTGATCAATATATATATTAGTAGTAAGTTGTAAGGGGTTTAATTGACAAATTACCCCTCAAATTTTACATGTTTTCTCATTTTGGTACTTAATTCTTTTGATCAAATGTTAAGACTAAA